CTTAAAGCAGTATAGCCAAATACCCTTTTTGGCCCTGCCCCTCAGCCCCCTGGGGGGTCAGCCACACCATTTGTACAATTTTAAATCCCTGCCTCCCAGGAATGCTTTTGATCAAATATGATTGATATCCAGTGCACAGTTCTACAGAAGAAGTCGTTTGTAGCAATATAGCCAAATTTCCCCCTTTTGGCCCCCGCCCCTAAGCCCCCTGGGGAGTCAGCCCCACCATTTGTACAATTTTTAATCACCACCACCTAGGGATGCTTCTAGTCAAATATGGTTGATATCCACTTCTTAGTTTCAGAGGAGAAGTCGCTTAAAGCAATATGGGCAAATTGACCCCTTTTGGCCCCGCCCCTCAGCCCCACCATTTGTACAATCTTGAATCCCCACCACCTAGGGATGCTTCCAGTCAAATTTAGTTTAATTCCCACCAGTGGTTAAGAAGAAGAAGAAGTCGTTTAAAGAAATTGTTGACGTACAGACGGACGGACGACGGACGCCACGGTATGGCATAAGCTCACCTTGGTCCTTCGGACCAGGTGAGCTAATAACAAAGGTGTACATTGCCTGGTTATTCCCCCCGTAAAGCCGTTATTTTCACCTTCAAATAAACACTTATCAATTGTTCAGTTATAAACTGTTGTTTGAGCCTTCGGTCATTAACCTGTGGCTATTGATTGTGGATAAGTTACCTAACACTTGATAATAAACCTATATACACCTGTAGTGAGCCTAGAGCCTACATGAGTGATACACATGGTCCACACTGCCCGTCACTGCCCGATCATTGATGCTTTCAGACTGAATACAATTTATTTTGAAACAGGGTTATTTCTAATCAGTGTCATCTAATTTTGGAAAAAAAACACACCCACCTTCGTTGATGAATGGATTCCAAGGGGGTTGGGAGGTTGGAGGGGTCAGAGAGGGTAAGGACAAAAGCATATCATATTGCATTTAGAGTAAATACAAAATTGTATTACAGTAATATAGAATTGTATATCTGTATGTAAATATAAGATTGTACTAGAGTAAATACAAAATTGTATTTCAGTAATACAAGAGGCCCATTGGGTCTTTAGAGTCACCTGAGTTGTATGATACTGTAGTCATTTTCATCGTGTATGAAAAGAAACATAATTCATTACCCACTATGTCATGAATAACAAGAGGACAAAGGACATTAATAGCTTGCCTGGAGTTTAAAATCTGTTAAATACACGGTATATTCATATAAAACAGTGCAAAAAATATCTGCTGAAAATATGAAACAAGGACAAAGTCCCAGATGTCCCCGCCTTAGTTGCCTTTTTATACCTGGCAACTGAATATATAATTACAGGGTGGAGGTCTCAGTTGTTTCCATCTTATAACTAAGGAACTATGTTTCCAGTGGCTGAGCTGATTCTGGTAGCTTAAGTGGATTTGTCTCTTCCAGCCTAGTCAGCAGTAATATGGTTCAGTGTGGGGATCTCGACCATTTCCATGTTGTGACCACAGTTCCATGTCCCAACGGGCTGGCATAATGTGTGGTCGTTTACCATATTCTCTCTTCATGCCAAGTAATTTAATTGATGATTATAAGGTGGACATCTCAACTGTTTTCATCTTAAAATTCAAGGACTAAATTCTCAGAGGCAGGGCTGGGCCAATGAGCTAATCCAATTGCAATTTTTTGTGTCTTTTGCTCAAAAATTGTATATGTGGGTATGGGGTAAGAGGATCTTAACTGATTCCATGTTATGACTTGGGGACAAAGCCTGCAGGGGGGTGGGCCAGAACCCTGGATAAATCTTCTGGTAATATGATCTTATTCATCAATATCATGGAATGAGGATCTTGACCAATTCCTAATTATAACTTGGGGACGAAGTCCCCAGGTTAAAAGCTAGATCTCTGGGCAAATTCTGGTAGCGTGAATGTATACGTCTTTCATGCCTAGCAACTAGATATATGGTTATAGAATGAGGATCTCAACTGTTTCCATGGCAGCAGGGGGAACCCTGGGCAGAGTGGGGCCCTGGGCCAGTCTAGGGAGGGTAAATTAAATCATCTCTTCATGTCAACTACATGATTTTAAGATTTTTATTTACACTCAACCACACAGATAGTGGGGATGATCTTTAATTGATACTGCTGTACACACAACATTTGTATGTTCCATGATACTCCTATAAAATAAGTATGGAATCTCTATGGGAGTATTTCAGTTAAAGTTGAAAATGTAAACAAATGATGGACAAAAAAGAGGATTGCAATTTGGCTTTTTGACAAAAAAAATGCATTATCTAAATTGTGGATACAACTAAAGTTAGAACTTCAGTTCCCAACAAACAATACTACAACTTCATTGTCATTATGAATCTTGTCTGTCATAGAAAAGCTACCCCACCCCGCCCCTTAGCCCCCATGGGGGCCACACCGACTGTTTATACTAAATTGGTAGGACTAGTAGCGTTTTAAAGGAAAAGTTGACGGACAGACGACAGATGTGCGGCATGGCATCCTTTGGACCAGGTGAGCTAAAAATGACAAAGTCAGAAATAAATCCTGAAAGAACTGTTACTACCTTTAATATGATTTTAAAAGCAGGTTCTTGAAATCATATCATTTACCTTTGATTATTAATGTATGTCGTTGGAGTGGGTTTTTTTCACCAGAGTTATCCCCCTTCAACTCTACCATTAGTGAAAATTAATTGGACAGTTGGAACATGAAGACTTTGTCTACCTACCTGTGACTGCCTGCTTTGAAAACATGCTAATTGTAAGGACATCCTGGTACAGTGACACCATTTTGGTCAACAGAACATCCATTCTGACCCTACAAACAAAAGGAGCCTGCACCTCTCAAGACAATCGCAGCATCTTATTGGAAAACATATGTACAACTACACAGCCAAGTCACTCTCTCCCTCTCTCTCTTTGGTAGTTAGTATACACAAGTTGACAACATCAAAAGCTCAGCACAACCACCTCCAAGTGACCTTTGTCTTCAGCTGAGGTTAAACTCCACCAAGCATTAAAGGCAACATGAGGGACCACTTAACACTGAAACCTAACAAGTATTAGACCAACGACAAACCTGCTGTGCTCTTACAACACAAAGCATTAATATAGCTAATGTCAACTGATAGCATCTCACCTGTTAGTGAAGCAAAGCAGTGCAAAAGATATCTGTAGCAGTATAACAGATACCTATAGCAGTAAAACAGATACCTATATCAGTATAACAGATACCTATAACAGTAAAACAGATACCTGTAGCAGTATAACAGATACCTATAGCAGTATAACAGATACCTGTAGCAGTATAACAGATACCTATATAAGTATAACAGATACCTATAGCAGTAAAACATATACCTGTAGCAGTATAACAGATACCTATATAAGTATAACAGATACCTATAGCAGTAAAACAGATACTGATAGCAGTATAACAGATACCTATAGCAGTAAAACAGATTCCTGTAGCAGTAAAACAGATACCTATAGCAGTAAAACAGATACCTATATCAGTATAACAGATACCTATAGCAGTAAAACAGATACCTATAGCAGTAAAACAGATACCTGTAGCAGTAAAACAGATACCTATAGCAGTATAACAGATACTTACAGCAGTATAACAGATACCTATATCAGTATAACAGATACCTATAGCAGTAAAACAGATACTTACAGCAGTATAACAGATACCTATAGCAGTATAACAGATACCTGTAGCAGTATAACAGATACATATAGCAGTATCGCAGATACCTATAGCAGTATAACAGATATCTGTAGCAGTATTGCAGATACATATAACAGATACCTATAGCAGTATTACAGATACCTAGAGCAGTTTAACAGATACCTATAGCAGTATAACAGATATAATATACCAAAGTAGCAGTTAAATACCCCCCCCCCCCCATTTGCAATAATTACCTGTAGCAGTTTGACAGATACCTATAGCATTATATTATGCCGGTAGCTTTATAATATACCTGTAGCATTAGAATATATATCGGTTTAACTGATACATGTACCTGTGTAATACGAAGGAAGAAGTGAAAATAATACCCCCTCCCCCCTTTTCAAGTCTTCCCTGGCGAAGGCTACCACAACCACGGTTCTTTTGCTACCTGCCAAGGGTTTTCCAATAGTTTAGAGCGGAGGGTCAATGACAATGGTTTGTAATAGAAAGAAAGTAGTGAAAAGAATACTGTACATGTAGGTGTTATAATTGGGGCTAGAACCCACGATCCCAGACTTTCTAGGTGTAAACATTACCACAGGGCTATGGGAAATTCCCTTCAGCTGCAGGTAGAAATGACACTTTTACATCTGTAGCGATGTAACTGATACCTGTGGTAGTGTACCTGATACAATATCAACATTGACAAATACCTGTAGGTACTACTAACACCAGTTTCTGTATGAATTTAATCAGCAGGAGACTAGTATACTGATATTTAAAGCATATTTAAAAACTTTTAAGTCTAGATTTAGAACTATGGGTTTTGAGACAATCTGCCTCTTACCATTGCTAAGGTGACGATCATGGATTTGTCACGGAAATATCAGAACTGCATTAGCCTATGTTGGTAGCCATACAAAAGCAGATTGATGTCTTTAGTGATATTTTACGGGATGATAAAGAATGGTATAAGCTTGGTTCCAAACAGAGGAAAGTAACTCAAAATTCAGTTGATGGACATACAGAACAGCACAACGGTAACACCATATTTACAGTAGTAGTACATGATCCTTTGTAACCCGATCTGGACAAAAATAACGTTTTATAGGTAGGACCTTCACCATTAGTGTGATATAGACATGTTGATAAGCTTGGGAAGGAATCCTCCACAGAATCAGCAGTAAATGTAAGGTAAACACAATGTTATAGACTCATCAACTTCAAACAAATTCTCTTCCCATATAAAAATTGGTATTAATTTATGATTGATGGTGTGTGACATGTTTGACTTCAATAAATCACTTGTATGTTATCTATAAATATGGTGTCACCATGGCTACACAAACCATGGTTACCATACCTTGAAGGGTGTTTTTTTCCATCCACACCCTGGGAGGGGCAGCCCGTTTTCCCCTATAGGACAGGGAGCGTCCAATCCCGGACTGCCCTGTGTGTTAAAATGTTAGCATACAACATCAAGCTAAGCTGTTAGCAATAAGCCCACTGAAGTTGTCCACAAGTCTTATTTTAATCCTGGAATAGATTTTGTTCCCTTTCAAATCTTTGCATTTACTCAATATTTTCATCATGCCTAAAATCATGAATCAGAATTTTTTAGGGAAAAAAATTGCCAGTCTCAAGATAATTTCTTCTGCAGACAACTTTATCCTTGAATATTAATTATACACATCAAAATACTAAAACCCTAAAAGGAACTGTTAAATGTGTTTAAGGTGAACATACAAGGTGTTTGTAATCCAGAAATAGAAGTGAAACCTTCCCATTTGCAATGGTGTAGCATACCAATGTGATGTTCAGAAAATATAAACAGGTGTCAAATAAGTAAGGTTATTTGCTACCTTGGTACCCAGTATGTATGAAATTACATGCTTCTGTTTTTGTGTGTGAGAGTTATCTCCCCCATTTAATGTACTTTATCTAACCTACTGGTAATGAAGGGGGTCTGCCCTAATGACAAGTGCCCCCAATATAATTTAACATTCACCCTTAATTGAAATTTTGTTTTGAGGAAGATTATGGAACTCAACTGAGACTATCAGTGACATTGCACTTCATGCAGGTAAATAGGTATAGAAACTTAATACAGGTAGGTATATAGATACTTCATACAGGTAAGCAGGAATAAAGGTGATGCTCAGGTATCCACAGGGGCCATACACATCCAATTTGAGATATTGGGCAAGTATATATAGGATCCCTATAATTGCATAGGCCCATATCTGATACATCAAGCCCCTGTGTTACTATCTACCTGTAATCATGATAAGTTACATAATACATTGCATACCTGACCTTGGTACCTGTTATTGAATTATGCGACCTTGTTGTGTTCACCTTGTTTTGTTCACCTTGTGCAATGTGGACAGTATACAATATAGAAAAACTGCAGCATAGCAAATCTCTATGTCCTTACTATTAACTCACAAAGTAGTGGCAGCTGTAACACTGGATTTAGTTGGGGACAAGAAATGGATGTCCTACAACGTTTTCACTTGTTTATGTGTATCTAATCCAATTTAGTTAACTTTCAAGCCATGAAGAAAACGTAAAATAAAATTTTGCTACTTTTTCTTTTAAAACCGAAAATAAATTAACAAAAATTAGAAATATATGATAAACAAAAGTCACAAGATGTCAAAGCTGTTTTCTACCACAATCATTAAAGACTTTGTTGAATGGATACATTTCTCTGTATAACATTCTATAGTCCAGGATTGTAACCAATTCAACCATTTATGTAAGCTATGTTTATCCAACTTATCTGTCTTAATGGATTGACTGACCGTTGATAAACAGGGACTATTGTGATAGAAATCAGTTTAATTTGTAAATGATTCCAAATCTTCTATTCACTAGTAAAGTTTAAAGACAGAATTTTCATACTTGCCAACTTTATGAAATTTCCATTGGGGAAATCCTGCATGCTCAAAATTAAAACATGAACAAAATGAGTGTATATACCCCCTTTAAAATAACCCTTTTTAATGACATATCTTGAGTTGTTCCTACAGATGAAATCATTAGATCTTAGAATATAGGAATAATTTAGCAAATTCACTGGTAGAAAACACTAAATTTAAGGGTCCAAAATTGGGAGTCTCCCTCCTAAATAGGGAGAGTAGGCAAGTATGAATTTTGAACAAACAGTGCTAGTTTCTAACATCTCTTTACAGTTTTGTTGCAAATTTGTACGTTGAGAACAGACACTATCAGTATTTTTACCTTTATGAATCACAGTGGTAAGCTGCTACAACTACCTTGTGACTATCACAAGTGTTAGAATAATGAGTCTTTAATGACCATGCTAAGCTCGGCTTGTTATTCCATGAGTTTAATGAACAGAATTGCACTATTGTCATAGAACTTTTCAATGATGGACCAATATCATCCTAGCTTTTCGTACATTGATTATTGTAACCCTTTCACCCCTATGTAACTTTAATAGACCCTACCATGCATTGATATGGATGAGTCCATTATGGTCTACAGTGGTGAAAGGGTTAAATATCAGCCCATTTTGGTTTATTGTACCAAGGACTTTGATCCAGCTAATACAGGTTCATGTACTGAGGACTATGGAACATCAAAGTCCAAGGTTTTTGTAAAAAAAAAATCCAATGCTGTCAGTCCTGATAAGTTTCTAACTCCTGACATTTGATCTAGGATGTAAACAAGTACTAGGATTAAATAAACAAAATGATTAGTACAGAATATATCTCTATATATATGTAATTACTTTGGCTAAAATCCAAGTTTGAAAATCATTTCTCAAATTCAGCAAGTGGTGCAGTCGCAGTACCAAATGTAAGTAAGGTACACCCAAACATCAGACACAAGAGGATGTCACATTTCACAAGTGACACAATAGGATGTTACATCAGACACATGTGATACAATAGGATGTCAAATTACACATATGACACAATAGGATGTTACATCAGACACATGTGACACAATAGGATGTCACATTACACATGTGACACAATAGGATGTCACATTACACATGTGACACAATAGGATGTCACATTGGACACATGTGACACAATAGGATGTCACATTACACATGTGACACAATAGGATGTCACATTACACATGTGACACAATAGGATGTCACATTACACATGTGACACAATAGGATGTCACATTACACATGTGACACAATAGGATGTCACATTACACATGTGACACAATAGGATGTCACATTACACATGTGACACAATAGGATGTCACATTACACATGTGGCAAGGAAGAATTTCACAGCAGACATGTGACACAATAGGATGTTACATTGGACACATGTGACACAATAAGATGTCACATTGGACACATGTGACACAATATGATGTCACATTACACATGTGACACAATAGGATGTCACATTACACATGTGACACAATAGGATGTCACATTACACATGTGACACAATAGGATGTCACATTACACATGTGACACAATAGGATGTCACATTACACATGTGACACAATAGGATGTCACATTACACATGTGACACAATAGGATGTCACATTACACATGTGACACAATAGGATGTCACATTACACATGTGACACAATAGGATGTCACATTACACATGTGACACAATAGGATGTCACATTACACATGTGGCAAGGAAGAATATCACAGCAGACACATGTGACACAATAGGATGTTACATCAGACACATGTGACACAATAGGATGTCATTTGACACATGTGACACAATAGGATGTCACATTGGACACATGTGATACAATTGGATGTCACATTACACATGTGACACAATAGGATGTCACATTACACATGTGACACAACAGGATGTCACATTACACATGTGACACAACAGGATGTTACATTAGACACATGTGACACACTAGGATGTTACATCAGACACATATGACACAATAGGATGTCACATTTGACACATGTGACACAATAGGATGTTAAATTACACATGTGACACAATAGGATGTTACATTGGACACATGTGACACAATAAGATGTCACATTACACATGTGACACAATAGGATGTCACATTGGACACATGTGACACAATATTATGTCACATTACACATGTGGCAAAGAAGAAGATCACAGCAGACACATGTGACAAAATATATGTCACACACAACAACAACACAAGTGACCTTATACAAATATTAAGTACTGTTGGTGACTATATACAGATATACATGATAATTATACATGTATAATGTAAGTTAACTATATTATCTATATGGATTGTTAGTGGCTAGTTATATGTATAATGCTAGTGGTTACATCAATATTTACTGTTAATCACTACTTATATACCGTATTTGCTGTAATTGCCACCCAACCCCTTTTTTGAGGCACTAGTGCCTCTTTCAGCCTATTTTTAAGTGCCTGGGTACAAATTACAGAGAATACGGTACATTTACTGTTAATGACTACCTACACATGTATTTAGTGACAGAACTATTGGATCTCACATTCACTACCAGTACCTCGTCAAAAACATGATCTCTCAAAATAGGGCATCAAGGAGGAGTATTGTGGAAACTTAGCTTATAAATCTGTATCAGACAATTATCAATAATGTTGAGAAATTGTAGTTACTTGAAGACTCCTTGATTCCCTAGTTAAAACATAGGTCTGGTATTATAATAGAACAATGGTAACACAAAATGTTGGAATCAACAATCACTAAACAGATCAATTACATACTAATAAATAACATCAATATATACAAGAAAAATTAAACTAGAAAGTTGAGAAACAAAACTTTTGCTCTTTTGAAAAACATGTTTTTGAATTTGAACAGGAATGAAATTTAAGTTTAAAAAAGTTAAGTTATATAAGCCTGGTCATGTAAACAGATGAAATTATATCTGCCATGGATCATCATGTATAAATCTACTAACGAGGGCTTTATGACAATATGGCTGACCTTGTTGCCAATATCAGCACTAAATAACCTAACCTTTGACATGGGTTGACATGGTATACCAAGTTTTCTATGGCCTCTGTCAGAGTTATGACAAGACTTACCGTCTCCCCATGTTCACCCTTTAATCCTCTTCTGCCACGTTTTCCTCGTATTCCCTACATCAAACACCAAACATCAGCATTGCCATATAATACTGTATATTTCTACTGATGTCCGTGATCACACGAGAAAAATATTTCATATCCAGTGCTTAAAAAATTCAACTAATCAAATCAGCATTTTGATACATTTTATTGACAAATAAATTATGTAGTTAGGATTGAGACGTCTCAATGACTGTTACATAACCATGCCGCATGAGACATCTCAATGACTGTTACACAACGATGCCACAGGAGACATCTCAATGACTGTTACACAACGATGCAACATGAGACATCTCAATGACTGTTACATAACGATGCCACATGAGACGTATCAATGACTGTTACATAACCATGCCGCATGAGACATCTCAATGACTGTTAAATAACCATGCCGCATGAGACATCTCAATGACTGTTACACAACGATGCCACATGAGACATTTCAGTGACTTACACAACGATGCCACATGAGACATCTCAATGACTGTTACATAACAATGCCGCATGAGACATATCAATGACTGTCGCTTAACGATGTTGCATGAGACATCTCAATGACTGTTATACAGTGATGCCACATGAGACATCTCAATGACTGTTACACAACGATGCAACATGAGACGTAGCAATGACTGTTACACAACGATGCCACATGAGACATATCAATGACTGTTACACAATGATGCAACATGAGACATATCAATGACTGTCGCTTAACGATGCTGCATGAGACATCTGAATGACTGTTATACAGTGATGCCACATGAGACATCTCAATGACTGTTACACAACGATGCAACATGAGACGTATCAATGACTGTTACACAACGATGCCACATGAGACATTTCAATGACTGTTACACAACAATGCCACGTTAGACATCTCAATGACTGTTATACAATGATGCCACATGAGACATCTCAATGACTGTTACACAACGATGCCACATGAGACATATCAATGACTGTTACACAATGATGCAACATGAGACATATCAATGACTGTCGCTTAACGATGTTGCATGAGACATCTCAATGACTGTTATACAGTGATGCCACATGAGACATCTCAATGACTGTTACACAACGATGCAACATGAGACATATCAATGACTGTTACACAACGATGTTGCATGAGACGTCTCAATGAATGTTACACAACGATGCAACATGAGACGTCTCAATGACTGTCGCTTAACGATGCTGCATGAGACGTATCAATGACTGTTACACAACGATGCAACATGAGACATATCAATGACTGTTACACAACGATGTTGCATGAGACGTCTCAATGAATGTTACACAACGATGCAACATGAGACGTCTCAATGACTGTTACATAACGATGCCACATGAGATGTCTCAATCACGGTTACACAACGATGCCACATGAGACATCTCAATGACTGTTACACACCGATGCCACATGAGACGCCTCAATGAATGTTACACAACGATGCAACATGAGATCTAGCAATGACTGTTACACAACGATGCAACATGAGACCTCTCAATGACTGTTACATAACGATGCCACATGAGATGTCTCAATCACTGTTACACAACGATGCCACATGAGACGTCTCAATGAATGTTACACAACGATGCCACATGAGACGTCTCAATGACTGTCGCTTTACGATGCTGCATGAGACGTATCAATGACTGTTACACAACGATGCCACATGAGACGTATCAATGACTGTTACACAACGATGCCACATGAGACATCTCAATGACTGTTACACAACAATGCCACATGAAACATTTCAATGACTGTTAAATAACCATGCAAGTGGAGAAAGGTCAATTACTATACAATTGTACCAGATGTCTAAATGACTGTTGCATAACGACGCCACGTTAGACATCTCAATGACTGCTACACAACAATGCCACGTTAGACATCTCAATGACTGCTACACAACGATGCCACACGAGATGTCTCAATGACTGTTACAAGGTGATGCCACATAAGACGTCTCAATGACTGTTACAAAATGATGTCCCATGAAACATTTACAATACCGATATACAGATATGAACATTATGCAGACAAATGATTGACCCCATTGCTGTGGGGTGAAGGCCTGTACTTACCCGGTCACCCTTCTCTCCCTTGCAGGTGCAAGCCTCAGCACCTCCAGATGTAAGCACTGCACCATTGGGTCCTGGTGGGCCCTGATCATGGAGAAAGTGAAAGTGAAAGTAGACTTTAATAACAAGGATGCTGACCAGGTCAGAAGCTCACATGTCTTGTAGCAGAATTCCTAGTTGTATCAAATACCTATCAAACATTAAAAGTATACTTACCTTTCAACTGAAAAGAATTAATGCATTATATATCCTAATTCATTGTTACTATCCAACCTTGATACAATGTATATGATAATTGGGTAGTCCATGGCCACATGGAAATAATTTAGACAAAACATTAAAACATGTAATGAGGTCAAATCAATACAGCAGAGAAATTTCCATATTCAATAAAGTTGTTGAGTGTATCATGGAGGTCAGGATTTCAGATGTTGATAAACACTCGGGCCACACATGTACCAGCTGTGTGAGAGCCCGCACCAATATAACCCAGCTTACCATTGGCCCCATCTTAGACCCTTTCAGCTTGTGTCACAGCGTTCACTTGTGACCCATCTTACCATTGGCCCCACCTTGGACCCTTTCAGCTTGTGTCACAGCGTTCACTTGTGACCCATCTTACCATTGGCCCCACACTTCCTTCCATTCCTTGTGATCCTTTGTCTCCCTGTGGTCCTGCCTCTCCCTACATTATAACAAAGCCAGTAAAAGTGAGCGACTAGCTTGCAGCAGTTACTATCCTTGGAACACTTCTAGAAGATATATTAGTGTGTGTTATTAGTTGGTTACAGTAGGAAATTAAAGATTTAGGCCTATTCAAGATGGACAAATAAATGTTACATAGAGAATAATACATGCCTTTTCCCCTATCACATCCAGTACCAACCCGAGACTCCAGGGCTGATATTGGCTGAGGGCTACAGATAGATCTACTATCTTATGATCTATTTTTCTTTTGAAATATTGGAAAACTATTTTTTTTCAAAAGGGATGTGATACAGGTTTTGCTGGTTGATATGGAATGGGCTGATACAGGTTTTGGTGCGAGATACAGCGAGGGCTGATATGGGTTAGAGCAATTGCGTCGTATCACATATACAAAAACCTATATTTATTAGAAAGTATGTAATAAATAACAATAAAATCCTCAAGAAAATCTCCAGATATTTTAAGATGGAGAAATTACACAATAAACAAAGTAGTACATTTGTAGTGGAAAAAGCAGTACATATAGATCTATATGAATCAAGTTCTCTTTATTCAACCCTATACCAGTCTTCAGCGACGGTCAGGGTGATAAACGAAGGTTTATAAAGTTGACTTACAGGTAAACCCATTGGTCCAATCAGGCCCCGATCACCCTTTTCTCCCTGGATACAAGAAACAATCCGCATCAAATATCATCAGCATTATGCATCCACAGTACATCACCTTCCCAAATTTTTGTAAAACAGAAGTTTAGGAATTTAAGTCTTAATGGATGTGACAGGAAAGTCATTGAAGAGTTGGCTATAATATTTGTCATTGTAATAACCCAAAGTTGAGAAGATGCAACAATCTGATAAAAACAAAATGAATAAAATGTCACATGGATCGTACCACACAAGAACCAATGATGTAACTTGCTACCAATATATATAATCATAATAATGTTTATTTCAGGAAATAGATCATAGACATCACATGTAACATGACAGTTGACATACATATTACAGTACAACATACATATATATTACTAAAAATATTAAACAGAATATCACAGGTTTTTGGAGCAGTCCAAGGAGCAGGTGATTGGGCATCCCCTTCCTACAAGCTCTTCGGACGCTCAAATATTAATGAACCTACATGGATTAAATTATCGTCAGTAATAAAACATTGTATTATCTTAAAATATTCTATTATATATGAAACTAAAATTCATAACTGATTTTAAGATATACGTAATATATTTATACAATTACTACACACAAACATTGATCTATAAACCTGAGGATAGCCCATGAAAGCTCAAAAGCTTATTCCAATGGGCTCCATGTTATAATGATCACGGGGAAAGATTTTGGCAGGAGGGAATGATTGACAACATATTATTAACTTTATTGTCAGTACCTAAAATGTACATAATCATTATCAGTGTACAATGTACAATAATTGGGAGGATGGTGACAAGCATGCATAAGCTGTGACTTACTGTCCCTCCTTTAGGTCCCACTGGTCCTCGCTCTCCCTAAAACCACAACACGTCAGTATCACAGCATGGAGGCAAGTAAAAGAGAGTTCAAGTTCAAGTAAATTTTATTTAAAAGTCAGTACATGGTTAAACTAACACAAGCCTATGGAAGGCTTTTACAACCGACTATATAACAAACAAGAGGCCCATGGGCCTTAACGGTCACCTGATATATTTATACAGAGAGTTGATTTTGTTTTTAACATGAACAAAAATATTATTCAGTGACATAAAACAATAAAACCACCTTATTCAGTATCTAGCATACAGATTTAAGACTAAAAAGTATTTGAAACTAGCACCTCTGATTCTAAACAAGGAAAATGAAGAAATTTAAGCACACTGACTCCTTTGGGCCCTACCCTACAGCCCTTGGGGGTAGGGCTGGCTCAAAATTTTCAAAGTATCAAACTGTCAACTCAGGGTTATAATTCCAATATAGTTATTAACATGTAATATTCAAAGTATCATTTGCCATTATAAACCATAACAAATTTTGCCTCCCCACACCCCCTTTCCCAGGGGATAAACGTGAGACCCTAGGGTCATAAACCTTAAGACCATTCCATCTATGAAGAGTGTTTGATTCTACCATATCTGGGTCTTGAGAAGAAGATTTTTGAAATTTTAGTCAATTTGACCCTTTTTGGTCCCACCCCTCAGGCCCCTGGGGGCCGGGGACCAAACTGGCAACAATTTTTATTGACCTTTGGCCATGGAAGGTTTCTGCATAATTTCATTGAAATTGGTTCAGGGGTTTTGGAGAAGAAGTCGAAAATGTAAATAGTTTACGGACGCACGATGGACGACGACGACGACGACGGACAAAAGGCGATCGCAATAGGTCACTTGAAACTTTGTCTCAGGTGACCTAATAAAAAAGGAGGTAGCATTATATAAAACATAACAAGCATGCAGAGATAGGCTGCTTATATAACATTATTCTTAAACAGAATTTCTAATTCACATACATTTATTGTAGGCTTCACACACTGTCTGGGTGATTGCATTGGTCTAAGGAACGTTTTGGAACAAAACAGGACAAGCGCTGCTCATCAATGAATCCAATACATTGTATATAATCTGTTGCTGTCTATCGAACTCAAAATTACCTATTGGATGTACTAGAAACACTGACTGATCAGCAAGGGTCCCACCATGTGTCTGACTGTAACCCCCAACCACCTGGTATATTTTTAGCAAGTCACCTTGTCCTTACAAACTCTTTAAACCCATATTGCACATCTACATATATTGTCTTTAGGTGTAATATTTAATAAGTACACTTCATTTTTCGATATGGTGTAACAAAGGTGTAACCATTTTAACATAGTTTGTATGAGAGGTTCACACGAGATCTGCTGATCACAATTCAACTGGTACATTTGGAGACACTTTTTACGCTTGAAATAGCACAGCACTACTTATATCTATTTTTTGTTGAACAAATTTTGTAATTCTTTTAGTATACAAATGCACAGTGCCAAACCAGAAGGAACATGTACCATGCAATAACACCTACTTTATAGTACTTTATATACTTACAAGGTAAGAAAACTACCACAATATTAAATCCATTAACGGATGATATGAGATGTGTAGGAAATGTTCATGCAGTAAAACATACAAATTGGGTAAGGTTACCTTGATACCAGGGGCACCTTCTAGTCCCATAGGTCCCTGTAGGGCAAAACAAGTCACATGACTTACAGAGGATGTTGGCATGAGCATGGGATAAATGATTGAAGCGTTAATAAATGAATTTTACAAATACACACAAAAAATGAATAAGTAAAGTTGTCTTAGAACAGAAAACATTGGATTGGATTTGTTTTTTTTCTCAAAATAGGTAAAAAGAGGCTGATGAAATGCATTCAATAAATACAATCCATGGAAAAGATGACACAGAGAGTGATTAAAGGGAGATAAATCTGCGGCTGAGGGTGAGGGTTAAACAGCTTACCTGAGGGCCAGCAGGTCCTGGAGGTCCTGGAAGCTGTCAACGTAAACAACAAAGTTATACACAATGAGTATAGAAACCAAAAAAATCCAACTAACAAATTCATCACCAAGAGGAGAAAGCTATATCAAGTTTGAACAGGTTTAACAATTAATATTTAAAAATTCACTTGTCTGCTCTATATAAGAATCTCTTTATTCAGAAAATTAGCATAAACAAATCATACAAGATTATCTATTCTAGTATAGAGCAAAAGTGTTAACTCATTTGTTTTAAAAGTAAAAACTTACAACCCTTTGGATAATGGTGCCTTCCATCCCTTTTCCCTCTATAATTCCTGGCTCTCCCTAGAAAACATCAAAACCACAAAATCACCACCAGGGTAGTATTCACACTTCTGTGTTATAATGCTAATTTTAAAATCTTCATTTCTTAACAGAATTGTTTAATGTTCAAACTTTGTACACCTGAGATCCACCATCAAAAGACAGGAGACAGAGGAGATAATGCTACCATTAAATGACTCGGATGGAAATAAGGACATACTATGAGATAAATACTTAAGTTAAACCAATCTGATAGGTTATGATTTATGTAAACCTCTGTTGTTTAGCCTCTAAATAAAAATACCGACTCGGAGTGTTGTAATGAATGCATAGCAGACAGAACTATAACACACAAATGTTCTCTAATCAGAAATCCCTCAGGCCTTCCTTCATACTGTATCAGCACCAATTATGTTGTAATGGAAAATTCAAACTTTGGTGGAAATTCTCAAAAAGTTTTCGATTGACATTTGTCACCTTACAGAGATTTTAAAAGGAAATCATGACCTTGTTCCTGCAAAATTGATGTTCCACCATTTAGTAAACAGTTTGTTCAAATTGTATCATGAAATGAAAGAAACTGCCCAGAAAGACAATATACAATCTTCTGTGTTGTTTTGGATATAATAGGGTAAGAATGCATATTCTTAACATTCATGATAGTATAATACCCAGTTACTTACAAAAACATTCTCCAAGATGCACAACCGTTTCATACCATCTCAAATTTCCATAATATACACATTTCATTCCGAAAGTATTGCATCACACTTACTGATTCTTATAACGACATAATTTACATAAAAGCCTCTCGAACAAACAACATAATCAAGATATCTTTTAACTAAATTACTTCTCAAGTGAAAATGCAATTTTTTATTTCACCTAGAATCAGCAGAATTCAGTCAATCACACAACAGGTTTTCCCCAGTTTACCAAACACCTACCATACCTGTGAACTTATGGCATTTTGAACGTTAGTTGCATGGCTTTACCAATTGAAAAAAAACACCCAACGAAATGACAAAAACATTGATATGATGGTCAGATTGAAAAGAACATGTCTTTTACTATTAAGCATACCATTACCTGGTAATTACTAAGTATATAAATAATTCTCAACACATTAACAAATGTTACCCTCCCTCGTGAGATACAAATTTTGTGCCTTTGAAACTTGCATTCCAATTTCCTCGATATTTAAGTAGAGTATTACACATACATTAACTTAATAAGAAGAAATTTAGGAGTGGTTATCAACCTTTCACATTCTATAATTGTTTCTTTTGACCGATTAAACATTTTGAATCGGGATCGGGGTCGGATAGGGATCAGATCCTGATCAGGCCAGGATACAAATATCTATTTTTACATCCTACACTGTTGGGAATATTACAGATTATGAAGTCAAAATTGAAGGTTAAAAAATTGGGAGTCTCCCTCTAAAATAGCCAACTTAGCTAGTACGCTAATTCAGTTTAACCTCAAATATTGCGTCTCCAAAGAAACTCCTCATTGTTATTGTGTTTTGCCACCATGCAACCCCATTCCAACATTTATTTGCATTTCCTTATTAAAAAGTGTATGTGCTAAAACTGAGTTGCAATAGCGTGTCCATTCAGGAAAAACTCTACTTCAAATGGACATTCTGATCACCCTTAGGGGGAACAAAATGTAGCAAATGCCTGATTTTCTTCTGATTTACAGGAATTTTACATTTTTAAACTGTCACATTGACTGTTTTATTGATTGGCAATTAATTAATTATGGATTAAACATTTAGTCAAAGGCAAGCATTTAATCGTGTCTAGGAAATGCTCAACATGTCATACAACATGCATAAAAACAACAGAGCACGGTCCTCATGCCACCCCTACACAAGATGTTCCCTGCCACTCAAGTCTTGAATGGTCCTGATAGCACACGATGTTCCCCACCCCACCCCTACACACGACCAATGTTCCCCACCCGTACACACGATGTTCCCCAACCCACCCCTACACACGATGTTCCCCACTCCTACACACGATGTTCCCCACCCCTACACACGATGTTTCTCACCCGTACACACGATGTTCCCCACCCCTACACACGATGTTCCCCACTCCTACACACGATGTTCCCCACCCCTACACACGATGTTCCCCACCCCACAGCTGTACTCAGTCCATCATGTCTTACCTATATCTTGTGTTTCCAAGGACAGCATGCAAAATAAAGCATTCGTGTGAGATTGTTATTTATTCCTGAAATTTGGAAAATATTTCAAATTACTGTTGCTTCTGGTACACAGTTACTATGAACATGCTTATAACACATTTTTAAATGTATATTGGTGGGTTCCCTGTCAAAGAATGGTCACATGAACAGCAAGATCTTAAGCAAACTTTGACAGAAAAATGAATCCTCAGTTCTCTGAGCTTTATTAAAAATCTGTTTGCATATAGATGATAATACATAAATATGATAATTAATTTTAAATTGAAAATGACCTTTCATCATTATTCATTATTGTAAGCCAGGCAGTATTATATCCTAAGAGCCTTCTTCTTTGACATGAATAACATTTGCTGAGAATGACCTTCATCCTAGACACAAAAAGGTTGGATGACTAACAGAAAACATGAAACCAGTGGAAATATGGAGGAATATCAGGCTAAAAAACACTTAACCCACTGGTAGTTGAAGACTATCCACCCAATGGTAGCTGGAGAAACACACATACATGGGCAGTTGAACACACATACATGGGCAGTTGAACACACATACATGGGCAGTTGAACACACATACATGGGCAGTTGAACACACATACTGGTAGTTGGAGACATACCAACCCACTGGTAGTTGGAGACACACTCTGGTAGCTGGAGACACACCCACCCACTGGCAATTGGAAAAACACACCTAATTGTAGTTGGAGACACAACCACCCACTGGTAGTTGGAGACATACTCTGGTAGCTGGAGACACACCCACCCACTGGCAATTGGAACAAGAGGCCCAGAGGGCCTGTATCGCTCACCTGAATATAATTAAAGTAACTGGTATCAAGTAAAGATATAGCACTCCATGGTAGGTGCTGTTAGTACATATGAAATTTCAGAAAGATCCATCCAGTACTTGAGATATAGAGAACAAACTTCAAACAGAGCCCCACCCCTATGCCCCTACGGGGGTCTTACCCACCAATTATACAAAATTGAGTCACCGTCACTCAAGGATGCTCCACACTAAATAAGGATAAAATCCCTTAATCCCGATGGCTGGAGAAGGATTTTTCCTATTGGGCCCTGCCCTTCTGCCCCCCACCTCAGAGACCACACCTTCTGCTAATACAAAATTGAGTCCCCTTGACCCAAGGATGTTCCAGACTAAATTAGGATAAAATCCCTTAAACCCTATGGTAGAAGAAGGATTTTAAAGGTTTTTCCTCTATTTTCCCTATTGGGCCCCGCCTCTCTGCCTACAGCGGGGTCAGACACACCGTTTATACAAAATTGTTTCCCCTTCCCCCAAGAATGCTTCAGACAAAATATGGACAAAATCCTGCCATTCCTACCGAAGAAGAAAGATTTTGAAGATTTACGTCTATTTCCCCTATTGGGCCCCCCCCCTCAGGTCCCAGGGGGGCCACCCCCACCGTTTATACAAAACTGGTTCCCCTTCACCCAAGAATGCTTCAGCCAAATATGGACAAAATCCTGCCATTCCTACCGAAGAAGAAGGATTTTGAAGATTTACGTCTATTTCCCCTATTGGGCCCCACCCCTCAGGTCCCAGGGGGGCCACTCCCACCGTTTATACAAAACTGGTTCCCCTTCACCCAAGAATGCTTCAGACCAAATATGGAACAAATCCATTCATTCCTACGAAAGAAGAAGGATTTTAAAGAATAATTTGCTATATTTCCCCTATTTGGCCCCGCCCCTCAGGCCCCTGGGGGGCCAGACCCACCATTTATACAAACTTTGTTCCCCTCCCCCCAAGGATGCTTCTGACCAAATATGGACCAAATCCTTTGATTCCTACAGAAGAAGAAGGATTTTAAAGAATTTGCTATATTTCCCCTATTGGGCCCCCCCCCTCAGGTCCCAGGGGGGCCACTCCCACCGTTTATACAAAACTGGTTCCCCTTCACCCAAGAATGCTTCAGACAAAATATGGACAAAATCCTGCCATTCCTACCGAAGAAGAAGGATTTTGAAGATTTACGTCTATTTCCCCTATTGGGCCCCACCCCTCAGGTCCCAGGGGGGCCACCCCCACCGTTTATACAAAACTGGTTCCCCTTCACCCAAGAATGCTTCAGCCAAATATGGATAAAATCCTTCCATTCCTACCGAAGAAGAAGGATTTTGAAGATTTACGTCTATTTCCCCTATTGGGCCCCACCCCTCAGGTCCCAGGGGGGCCACCCCCACCGTTTATACAAAACTGGTTCCCCTTCACCCAAGAATGCTTCAGCCAAATATGGATAAAATCCTTCCATTCCTACCGAAGAAGAAGGATTTTGAAGATTTACGTCTATTTCCCCTATTGGGCCCCCCCCCTCAGGTCCCAGGGGGGCCACCCCCACCGTTTATACAAAACTGGTTCCCCTTCACCCAAGAATGCTTCAGACCAAATATGGAACAAATCCTTTGATTCCTACAGAAGAAGAAGGATTTTAAAGAATTTGCTATATTTCCCCTATTGGGCCCCGCCCCTAAGCCCCCAGGTGGGCCAGACCCACCATTTATACAAAATTGGTTCTTCTTCACCTAAGGATGCTCCACACCAAATTTTGTTAAAATCCGCTCATTGGTTCATGACTAGTAGTGTAAAGTTGACGGATGACGGACGCTGCGGTATGAACTTGAACTTGGTAGTTGGAGACACACTCTGGTAGCTGGAGACACACCCACCCACTGGCAACTGGAAAAACACACCTAATTGTAGTTGGAGACACCACCACCCACTGGTAGTTGGAGACAACCCTGGTAGCTGGAGACACGCCCACCCACTGGCAATTGGAAAAACACACCTTATTGCAGTTGGAGACACAACCACCCACTGGTAGTTGGAAAGACATACTAACTAAATATCAACATCCTGAGCCTTTTGGTTATTCAGAACAAGTTGTTGAAATATTTTAAACATATTTGCTCCTTGTGATCTTGAATATGATTCAAGGTCATACATTTAAACAAACTTGGTAGCCCTTGATCCTAGTATGCTACTGACAAAATATCATCACCCAGGGCATTTTGGTTATTCAGAAGAAGTTGTTTAAAGTTTTTAACATATTTGACCCCTGTGACCTTGAAAATAGATGAAGGTCATTTATTTGAACAAACTTGGTAGCCCTTTATCCCAGTTTGCTTCTGGCCATATATCATCACCCTAGGCCTTTCGGTTATTTAGAAGAAGTCGTTATAAGTAAAATATTGACGCCGGACGCCGGACGGACGGACGGACGACGGACGCCGCACCATGGCATAAGCTCACTTGGCACTTCGTGCCAGGGGAGCAAAAAACACACCTAATTGTAGTTGGAGACACAACCACCCACTGGTAGTTGGAGAAACACTCTGGTAGCTGGAGACACACCCACCCACTGGCAACTGGAAAAACACACCTAATTGTAGTTGGAGACACAACCACCCACTGGTAGTTGGAGACACACCCATCCACTGGCAATTGGAAAGACACACCTACTTGTAGTTGGAGACACAACCACCCACTGGTAGTTGGAGAAACACTCTGGTAGCTGGAGACACACCCACCCACTGGCAATTGGAAAAACACCCCTTATTGCAGTTGGAGACACAACCACCCACTGGCAGTTGGAGACACACTCTGGTAGCTGGAGACACCCCCACCCACTGGCAATTGGAAAAACACACCTTATTGCAGTTGGAGACACAACCACCCACTGGTAGTTGGAAAGACATACTAACTAAATATCAACATCCTGAGCCTTTTGGTTATTCAGAACAAGTTGTTGAAATATTTTAAACATATTTGCTCCTTGTGATCTTGAATATGATTCAAGGTCATACATTTAAACAAACTTGGTAGCCCTTGATCCTAGTATGCTACTGACAAAATATCATCACCCAGGGCATTTTGGTTATTCAGAAGAAGTTGTTTAAAGTTTTTAACATATTTGACCCCTGTGACCTTGAAAATAGATGAAGGTCATTTATTTGAACAAACTTGGTAGCCCTTTATCCCAGTTTGCTTCTGGCCATATATCATCACCCTAGGCCTTTCGGTTATTTAGAAGAAGTCGTTATAAGTAAAATATTGACGCCGGACGCCGGACGGACGGACGGACGACGGACGCCGCACCATGGCATAAGCTCACTTGGCACTTCGTGCCAGGTGAGCTAAAAACACACCTAATTGTAGTTGGAGACACAACCACCCACGGGTAGTTGGAGACACACTCTGGTATCTGGAGACACACCTACCCACTGGCAATTAGAAAGACACACCTAATTGTAGTTGGAGACACAACCACCCACTGGTAGTTGGAGACAACCCTGGTAGCTGGAGACACACCCACCCACTGGCAATTGGAAAAACACACCTTATTGCAGTTGGAGACACAACCACCCACTGGTAGTTGGAGACACACTCTGGTAGCTGGAGACACACCTACCCACTGGCAATTAGAAAGACACACCTAATTGTAGTTGGAGACACAACCACCCACTGGTAGTTGGAGACACACCCATCCACTGGCAATTGGAAAGACACACCTACTTGTAGTTGGAGACACAACCACCCACTGGTAGTTGGAGACACACTCTGGTAGCTGGAGACACACCCACCCACTGGCAATTTTGAAAGACACACCTACTTGTAGTTGGAGACACAACCACCCACTGGTAGTTGGAAAGACACACCTACTTGTAGTTGGAGACACACTCTGGTAGCTAGAGACATACTCATACTCACAACTGTATGGTTGAAGGGACAAAAACAAGAGGCCTAAAGGCATGAAGACACTCAACTGTTTAAAGGGTTTTTCTTTTCACAAACTTCCTAGCAATATGGACCCTTAAAGGGCCAACAACATTTAGGAATATTTCTTACTAACTTTGGGTAAAAAGTTGTCTGTTTACAAACATAATTATTGTTTAGCTACAAACTTCAATTAACACTAAGTGAAAGCTTTCGCAAAGAATCAGGCTTAGAGTCTCCACATAAAACTCCGAAGAATGGTAACGCCACAGTGAAACCTGTAACTGATGGTAGTGTGAAAGGATCAGAGGATCACCTGACTACATGCAGTCTCATTGAAACTACAGACCACACATGTAAAACAGAACAACAATACATGCATACCTCTACTGTCTAATACAGCACCTTTCTTGTACAGGTGAAAAGGAAAAATCAAATATACTGCATTGCCAAGAACACAAAATATCAACAAAAACATGCAAGTTCAATGTCACACACAGACAGTGTTTGAGAACAGTGGCTTCACTTTGTGTAAAGATACCTTTGTTATGAACATATGTATGTTTTAATGACATTTAGCATTTGTGCTTGTTCACACTAAGCACTCAGATAGGCATATACTCATTCAACAATTGCCTTAACTTATAATCTTTCATCATGCTGTGTTGAAATACTACACACCTATCACATGACAGTCATGCTAAACTTACGGGAGGCCCTGGGAGTCCTGGGGGTCCAATCAGTCCATCTCGGCCAACCTGCCCCTGAGATCCCTCCTCGCCCCTGTCACCCTTCATACCCTGGATAGCAAGTCATATCATTACACACACTCTGGATAACAAGTTATGTCATTACACACACTCTTGATAACAAGTTATGTCATTACACACACTCTGGATAACAAGTCATGTCATTACACACACTCAGGATAACAAGTCATGTCATTACACACACCCTTGATAGCAAGTCATATCATTACACACACTCTGGATAACAAGTCATATCATTACACACACTCTGGATAACAAGTTATGTCATTACACACATTCTGGATAACAAGTCATGTCATTACACACACCCTTGATAGCAAGTCATATCATTACACACACTCTGGATAACAAGTCATATCATTACACACACTCTGGATAACAAGTTATGTCATTACACACATTCTGGATAACAAGTCATGTCATTACACACACCCTTGATAGCAAGTCATATCATTACACACACTCTGGATAGCAAGTCATGTCATTACACACAACCTGAGTAGTAAGTCATATCATTAGAAACATCCTTGATAGCAAGTCATATCATTACACACACCCTGGATAGCAAGTCATGTCATTACACACAACCTGAATAGCAAGTCATATCAGTAGAAACATCCTTGATAGCAAGTCATATCATTACACACACTCTGGATAACAAGTCATGTCATTACACACACCCTTGATAGCAAGTCATGTCATTACACACACTATGGATAACAAGTTATGTCATTACAAATGCCCTGGATAGCAAGTCATATCATTACACACACTCTGTATAGCAAGTCATATAATTACACACACTCTGGATAGCAAGTCATACCATTACACACACTCTGGATAACAAGTCATGTCATTACAAATGCCCTGGATAGCAAGTCATATCATTACACACACTCTGTATAGCAAGTCATATAATTACACACACTCTGGATAGCAAGTCATACCATTACACACACTCTGGATAACAAGTCATGTCATTACAAATGCCCTGGATAGCAAGTCATATCATTACACACACTCTGTATAGCAAGTCATATAATTACACACACTCTGGATAGCAAGTCATACCATTACACACACTCTGGATAACAAGTCATGTCATTACAAATGCCCTGGATAGCAAGTCATATCATTACACACACTCTGTATAGCAAGTCATATAATTACACACACTCTGGATAGCAAGTCATATAATTACACACACTCTGGATAGCAAGTCATATCATTACACACACCCTTGATAGCAGGTCATATCATGACACACACTCTGGATAGCAGGTCATATCATTACACACACCCTGGATAGCAGGTCATACCATTACCCACACCCTGGATAGCAAGTCATATCATTACACACACTCTGGAAAGCAAGTCAAATCATTACAAACAACCTGAATAGAAGTCATATCATTAAACACACTCTGGATAACAAGTTATGTCATTACACACAACCTGAATAGCAAGTCATATCATTACACACACCCTTAGTCCTGTCATTACACACACTCTGGATAACAAGTCCTGTCGTTACACACATCCTGGATAACAAGTCATGTCATTGCACACAACCTGAATAGCAAGTCATATCAATACACACACCCTTAGTCCTGTCATTACACACACTCTGGATAACAAGTCCTGTCATTTCACACATCCTGGATAACAAATCATATTATTACACACACCCTTGATAACAAGTCATGTCATTACACACACTCTGGATAACAAGTTATGTCATTACACACACTCTGGATAACAAGTCCTGTCGTTACACACATCCTGGATAACAAGTCATGTCATTGCACACAACCTGAATAGCAAGTCATATCAATACACACACCCTTAGTCCTGTCATTACACACACTCTGGATAACAAGTCCTGTCGTTACACACATCCTGGATAACAAGTCATGTCATTGCACACAACCTGAATAGCAAGTCATATCAATACACACACCCTTAGTCCTGTCATTACACACACTCTGGATAACAAGTTCTGTCATTTCACACATCCTGGATAACAAATCATATTATTACACACCCCCTTGATAACAAGTCATGTCATTACACACACTCTGGATAACAAGTCATGTCATTACAAACACTCTGGATAGCAAGTCAGATAATTACACACCCTCTGGACAACAAGTTATGTCATTACACACAACCTGGATAATAAGTCCTGTCATTACCTACAACCTGGATAACAAGTCATGTCATTACACACACTCTGGATAGCAAGTCATACCATTACACACACTCTGGATAACAAGTCATGTCATTACAAACACTCTGGATAGCAAGTCAGATAATTACACACACTCTGGACAACAAGTTATGTCATTACACACAACCTGGATAATAAGTCCTGTCATTACCTACAACCTGGATAACAAGTCATGTCATTACACACACTCTGGATAGCAAGTCAGATAATTACACACACTCTGGATAGCAAGTCATGTCATTACACACACTATGGATAACAAGTTATGTCATTACACACACACTGGATAGCAAGTCATACCATTACACACACTCTGGATAACAAGTCATGTCATTACAAATGCCCTGGATAGCAAGTCATATCATTACACACACTCTGGATAACAAGTCCTGTCATTACCTACAACCTGGATAACAAAGCATGTCATTACACACACACTGGATAAGGAGTCATGTCATTACACACACCCTGGAAAACAAGCCAGATCATTACACACAACCTGGATAACAAGACATGTCATTATACACATTCTGGATAACAAGTCCTGTCATTACACACACCCTGGAAAACAAGCCAGATCATTACACACATTCTAGATAACAAGTCATGTCATTACACACACTCTGGATAACAAGTCCTGTCATTTCACACATCCTGGAAAACAAGCCAGATCATTACACACAACCTGGATAACAAGTCATGTCATTACACACCCTTGATAACAAGTCCTGTCATTACACATGCCCTGTATAAAAAGTCATGTCATTACACTCACCCCGGATAACAATTCATGTCATCACAAACACTGGATAACAAATCATGTCATTACACACACCCTGGATAACAAATCATGTCATTACACACACCCTGAATAACAAGTCTTATCTTTACAAACGCCCTGTATAACAGTCACAAAGTGAAAGTCACAGTCATTTATGCCCTTTGTAAACAAGTCACACATTTACACATGATGTTAAGTTTTCTACATATACAAATTGACAATTTTTCAACATTGAAATACAGCAATCTGTCATAATCTGGATTTTATTGATTAACATCATGGTTTTATACCACAGCGGTAATAATAACTTTAAGTTTTGCTTAATCTTTAAAGAGCAGGAATTATAATAGTAAGAATTACAAAGTGTTTGTAATAACAATAAAAAAAGAAAATTCAGTGATATTTAAGTACCCCTAGAACAACATGCTATGTAGGGAAGTGCACACATGAAGGAAGGTAAAACAAGGTGAAGGTTACCGCCGTATTGGCAGCGCAAACTCACAGTGCCTCTAGGCCCCGGCTTGCCATCTTTTCCTGGTATGCCTGGAGTACCACGCTCACCCTGAAGAAAGCAGAGAAGGGGGGATAGCATCAACAAGAGGGGACAGCTAGAGGAACAGCATCATAAGAGCATGGTGTAAGCTTCCATGGGCAGAATAATATGCAAGGGGAACATTATCTGGAGATGAAGGGGAACATTATCTGGAGATGAAGGGAAACATTCTGGATAGGGTCAGCAAGATAGATTTACAAACATAGAAGGATCAAAATTGTAGAAGAAACACTGGTACAAGGTGTGGTATACTGTGACATACACAACCTCCTGTTCCCCTAGGACTGATATCCGCACTTGTTCACCATGCAGCCAGACTTGGAGTGACTAGGTACAAATGTTCTACAATACATACTAGAGAGGTTTGTACCTGAAACCCTTTTTTCCCGACTTCCCCCTTTTCTCCTTTGGAACCTGCATCCCCTGCAGGTCCAGGTTTGCCAGAAGCCCCTTTTGGCCCAGACCGACCAAGGCGGCCTTTCTTTCCTTTCTTACCCTAAAGTGGTAAACAGACAGTAAGTAGAATTGTATACTAAATAAAACAAATGAGTTTGTAAGGAATGTTCATATTAAATAATTATCAATGTAAAAATAACAATCTACTTTCTTTCTCTTTATCCATTGTAAACATTGTGTGCTTATCTATGCCATTGAAAAGAAATCTTCAAAATAATATTGATTTTTTTTATACTTTCTTTCATGAAATATATTTCTGCAACAATTATCCAAGTTCCTGTTCATGTAATTTCCAATATAGATTTCACTCATGCAACACATTTTAATGGTTATATACACTGATATTCATACAAATAAGAAACCAGTACAATATCCAAACTATATTAATTGGACAATAATACACAACAATACCCCAACTATGGGGGCAAACAGTACACCACAATATACCAACTATAGGGGACAATAGTACATCATAATATACCAACTATAGGGGAAAATAGTACATCACAATATACCAACTATAGGGGACAATAGTACATCACAATATACCAACTATAGGGGACAATAGTACATCACAATATACCAACTATAGGGAACCGAGAAGAGCATGATCCTTAGACTACTATACAAGAGATCCTAGAGGGATCATGGCGCCCACAATTGTAAGATTTTCATAACCTCTATGTAAATTAGATCTTTTCTAATTACGTTCTTCTTTTTTCCGATCTGTTGGACTTATAGTCTTATAAACAGTAAATGCATTGTGTGGTTACTTTTGATTAAAATTTGTACTGCTAGGTTTGAGCGTTTTCTTTCAAAATGAAGACATTGCTTATTTATTGATAAATAGTAATAACAAACTTGAACTCTCAAAATCTAAGAATGCTGCTCAAGTATGGACTAAGGGGAAACCACATATGAAATATGATAAAGATCTGTCAAGTTCTTCTTGTAAAATAGCAAAAATTAACTGGAAATTCCAAAATCCAAGATGGCTGCTAGGTGGCCATGTTATTTTTCTTATCATTCCCAAAATCAAACAAGCACAGCTAAGGACCATAGAAAACCTATCAACACAATTTGAGTACTTTTGGTACTTTTTGAGAAGAAGTGATAACAAGAATTGTTTACAGACGGATGGACCAAATGACAGGCGATTTGATCAGCCCACTATCTGATGATTGTAGACTAATGTCACTAGGATGAATACAGTATGTCTGTGGGACGAGGGATGTTTACAACAATAAAAGCCACCCTAGGAGAAGCTAATGAGAGCTGTTCGACAAGCTGATAACAGCAATACTACAAGCTGGTCACTGAACATGCTAAGGATAACATGCTCAAGAGAATACAGAAAGTGACGTCACCCTTTTGCCGCGTCGTCCACGCTCTCCCGTGTCACCCTTGTGTCCAGCCGATCCTGGAAGACCCATTTCACCCTGTCATGAGAAACTTGGCACATCAAACCCTGAAATGACTGACTCAACTGTCAGCCAGTCAATCTGTCAGGTAACTTCTGTATGTGAAACTTCAAAATGTATACAGATATAGGTATTTTTGCCTGTATGTTCCAGTACAGACAGAACATGCTTGAAAATCACAAACCACAATAACAGTGCCACAAGAACCAAGCATTGATTTGACTCTGATGCAAAGCATGCTGTGAGGATGCAGGGAATTCACACGAAGTATAACACAAACTCTGACAAAGGCATGTAACCTAACACATACACATGCGTGACAGGACATGGAAAATACATCGGGGTAGATGAGGATTCTGACATTAACCCTCCTTACTCTTGACGCATGCCCTACCTATATATATATACCTAGCAATACACATCAATCTGCCTGAAGAAGTCCAAGAAGGCAGAAAGGTCTAAAGGGAGATCTTACAAGTTTATTATTTTATTCTATACCTAGCTATATATATACATAGGATGACAGGCTATCCACCCTGTCCATTACAACTATACTTACAATACAATTTAGTATTATATAGGTGCTCAGATTGTTACCATGTTATTCAGTGAATACACACATCATTAAGTTTTTATTTATGAATTTGTGATATCATAAAAAAATGATAATAGAAATGATATTACAGACTTTTAGATTATGATGTACATCTAAGACAGGAATGTCCAGAATTTAATGATTTAGAGAGGTCACATGGTGACCCTTTAATTTTCTTAATTTGATAGAGGCATCAATATGATGTCACTGACAGCAAAAGTCTCTTCCAGTTTGACACGATTTTGGCAAGAGGATGATAAAAAGATATAAGTGATGCCCTCAACCCTACACATCTTACTTTCTACAGTTCTGTAGAGGGTCAGTAACTGACAATACAACTGATATTATGAAGTCACTGAAGAAACAATATATAGCACACAAGACTCGTGAATCTTGTCACACATTTTTCATTTCAGCTTGCCTGAATTCTCTAAATGAAAATGCTAAAGACTTATTTCATTAACCTCATAGGACATAAGAATATTATAACTCCTGAAGGTTACTATGACTGGAAAGTGTACCACATAAAACTCTCATCTGATCAGCAACAATCACTCTTCCTTACTCATAAGTATAGTCCAGACCAGAGGTGTTTTCTTTATAGATTATATATTTTAGTCCATTTTACTAAAACAATTTCTCTATTTTTTCTCTCTCCTTCTGATTCTTTTACTTTCACCTGGCTTGTTACTTTCCTTTACCTCATTCTGGCCTCAGTATCACAAAACTTCTAAACTTAAACTTCACATTTCCTCTTAAATGTTCTAGAATCTGATTTTCTGCAATACACCATTGTTTTAAGTCAAGTACTGATTTCTTAACATAAATTCATAAAAAAATAAGTTTGGAGGACCTCAAATTGACCTTTAAAATAAATCTAATTTTAGAATTCAGAGCATTTTTAAAGATAAGAAGTTTTGTGATTTGGGGATCCTGACAATATTATATATAATAATCATAACACAAAATAGATACGGTGATAGTTACCAGCACTACGATTAAATAGCAATAGTTGGATCTTTGGTCCTCTCAGCTGCTGGTCACTGTGATGGTCATTATCCGAAGTCAGGCTGTTTTTGACAAAATAGCAAACTCTGCTGTGCTTCCATCACTCAAAACCTAACCACTAAACTGTGGTGTGAAATGTATACAACTACATTGTATATCATTGTGCTGGGCCTATTGCACCAACAAACACTGTTTTATGTATTACATCAAAAGTATTGTGGCCATGGACATCCCATTTATCATACAGACATCAGTATATAGTAATGTATCCAGAGAAAAAAATCAATTATGTACAACCTAATGACATACAAATATCAAAATAATAATATTGAGCTAAAAAGATTTTTTTTTTCTTTTTTTAAAATTGTGAGATATGTAGTACATGTAGTAGGTATACAGATACTAGATTAGTGTTACATGCAGTTGTCAGTAATAGTTGAGTATTATACAGTGTAAAAACAGAGTAGGAAAAAGTTCCCGAAAATATTACTGCTTTAAGACTTATATGGCATATTTAACACTACAATTAAACCCTTAGAAATCTTTCCAAATAACAAATAAAGAATCTTTAAAAATTAAGAACTTTGACTTTTGATCTAATTATCCAGTGAGAATGGAATTATAATCCTTTATACGGAGAACAGTAAATAACCAACATTGCCAGGTGCTGCTCATTGTTTGTGTGGTACATCTTTCTGTTTCAACTCAATTGATGCAACATTGAAATATTTCTGAATTGAGCTTCAATTGATAAGAGAATTCCATGGAACTTAGTTGGAAAGATACCAAATTAAAATTTACCTGTGCTGAAGGAATATTCATAATTTGCTCTGGAGATCACAGCAGTCTCATTGAATATTTTTGAATTTGACTTGGTATTGAACATGAGAAAGGAATTCAGACAGTAAGAGAAAGTTCCAATGGAATCGGATAACTCCTTCAAGGATATTCAGAGACTATAAACTTGGCTCAGCAGCATACTTGCATGAGAGACCTGGGTAGATAGTGTACTTGAAATGTTTCATAAAAATCTGATCATTCTTTCCAAAAGATACTGTCTATGAATTATAAATGAATCAGATTGCAGCAGCATTATTAATTGTCAAAGCAAATCGTTCAGAAACAAACCTGTATGTCAGTGAAACTGATGACCAGGTTTGATGACAAAGTTGCATTTGCAGGTAAAACAGTAATTTGACACCAACAGGGTCGTTAGATTCGGTATAAAAGCTGATTATATGACATGAAGCCTTTGCACACATCCCTTAAGCATGGTTACTAATCACTATGACTGCAGCTCTTGTCACTAATGTTAGTACGGCCTCTGTCCCATCACCAGGGTTAGTTCTGTCAGTCTCCATGGATACATTAGATACCATCACCAGTCTCTACCTGTGCCCAGGGTGCAGGTCGTAGTGCGCTGGTTGAAGAGGTCTGACCACCTTGTGTAGTAGAGCGCTCCTGCATGCGTCGACGTCGCCTCAACTGGCGGTTACAGAACCTGTTGCAGCACTGCCAGGCAACAGAACGTGGACCTCTCTCGAAGGTGTCCTCTGACCCCTCCACCTCATCATCAGTTTCCATTGTAGCAGTTTCTTCATCTGTGGTTGTTGGGGGGTTACGGTCTCGGCCACTCATGCGACTTGATCGCACCTCTAGCACACATCTGTGCGACGGTCTCTTTATGAACGAGGCAAGAAAATATGATGGCAGGTTTGTCTCCCCAAATACCCTGAATTGCAATCATTACTGATCTCCTATATGGTCTGTTATTGATTTAATTTGCTGCAGTCACAGTTAGTTAGAAGTATGAATTTTGTTGCAGTCAGCTATTAAATTTTGAAATCAAAGTTTATATGAGTTGATTTTGTATTGAAGATTTTCAATTCAATTTACATTTTTTTTTTGTAATCCAAAGATGCAACAAGGATTGACCTAATAATGCTGATTGCAGCAAATTTCACAAATAGCACACAACAATAAGGATAAGGCGAGGCACATAAACATTCAAATGAAAGGGTTCTCTCACCCTAGGACCCCTGGGACCCCGTGGCCCAGGAAGGCCTCTAATGAACCCCTGAGGGTACCCCAGGCCACTTCCTCCTCCTGTCACTTCAGCTCCTCCACCTCCAGTTTCAGCTCCTGCCCCAGTTTGAGTTGATCCTCCAGTTTGAGTTGATCCTCCTCCTCCCCCACCCCCTCCCCCTCCCCCTCGGCCTCCTCCCCCTCGGCCTCCTCCTCCCCTACCCCCTCCTCCTCTGCCTCCTCTCTGGGAACAAAATACTGTAAACGTACATATTTCAGCGGCAATCTTATTTTAGTGCTTTTCATTACTGGCATATTATGATAGAGCGAATTGAAGCTTCCGTATGTACTGTACTTTGTGATATTTTGCTCAAAATGGTGTAGTTAAATTTAGGTGCATCAAATTTCAAAAAAAATAATTCAATAATGCACTAAAATTTGAGTGTGCTAAAATAAGTATGTGTACAGTACTACTTTCATGATGTACTGATTGGAATTATATCTGACTGACCACCAGCAAATTCTCAAAGTAGTGTCAGGAAAAAAACACATATATAAGATAAATTAAGTCTTTGTATACAGGATGTAGCTGCCCAACAAATTACATGCAAAAAACATCATGATATTTGTTCTTCTTACAGAACATTAATAAAAGATTATTTTTTTTTGAAAATTTCCGTGAGCATTAATAGGAGAGGTACTCTTTCCCATCCACATCCAGGAATAAATGGAATAAAATAAACCTGATCATTTCTAGGGCAGGTTCTATTTGATTAAATATTTGGTTAGTATAGTTTAGCATTTATTTACTTTTCAGATTTGTTCCAATTAAATTATGTCAGCGAATATATATATGTCAAAAAAGTGTGTTTTATACTATTTTTTAAAAGAGGACTTATCTAGCTGCTTAATTAGAGCTATTCCATCTCGACTGGGTAGTGGAATTGTTAAAGTCACACTCAAGACACATAGTCACACTCAAGACACATAGTCACACTCAAGACCAATAGTCACACTCAAGACGAATAGTCACACTCAAGACATATAGTCACAGTCAAGACGAATAGTCACACTCAAGACATATAGTCAAAGTCAAGACGAATAGTCACACTCAAGCCACATAGTCACAGTCAAGATGAATAGTCACACTCAAGCCACATAGTCACAGTCAAGACGAGTAGTCACACTCAAGACACATCGACTCATTCAAGACACATAGTCACAGTCAAGACGAATAGTCACACTCAGGACACAGTCACACTCAAGACACATAGTCATACTAAAGACACATTGTCACACTCAAGACACATAGTCACAGTCAAGATGAATAGTCACACTCAGGACACAGTCACACTCAAGACATATAGTCACACAAAAGACACAGTCACACTCAAGACACATTGTCACACTCATAACACATAGTCACACTCAAGACATATAGTCACAGTCAAGACATATAGTCACAGTCAAGACGAATATTCACACTCAAGACATATAGTCACACTCAAGACATATAGTCACAGTCAAGACATATAGTCACAGTCAAGACACATTGTCACACTCATAACACAGTCACACTCAAGACACATTGTCACACTCAAGACACATTGTCACACTCAAGACACATTAGACTTATACCCAAGATGCATCATTCCTTGAAATTTCTAAAAATCCCAATCTACAATGCAAATGTGTATAACACAAGGTACAACACACATTGACAACACAAGGCTTCAACACATGCTTACAACATGCTTACAATACTTGATTTAATAGATGTTCAAACACAACTATTCACATTGACAACACAAGTATTCACGTTTACAACACAAGTATACACGTAAAGTCATTCACAATACCAGGCTCCAACATATGTTCATATGCATGGCTTGAAGACATGAAGCAACACATGTTTACAACACTTGGTTCAGCACATGCTTACAACACAAGGCTTTCTAAACATGTTTTAACGTAAGTCATGAATACATGCCTACAACATAGGGCTTCACAACACAAAGATTCCTCATATGCTTACAACACAAGGCTTAAAGCTCCATCATATGCTTACAACATAAGGCTTAAAGCTTCCTCATAGCTTACAACACAAGGCTTAAAGCTCCATCATATGCTTACAACACAAGGCTTAAAGCTCCATCAGATGCTTACAACTCAAGGCTTAAAGTTTCCTCATATGCTTACAACACATGGCTTAAAGATTCCTCATATGCTTACAACACAAGGCTTAAAGATTCCGCATATGCTTACAACACAAGGCTTAAAGATTCCGCATATGCTTACAACACAAGGCTTAAAGATTCCGCATATGCTTACAACACAAGGCTTAAAGATTCCGCATATGCTTACAACACAAGGCTTAAAGATTCCGCATATGCTTACAACACAAGGCTTAAAGATTCCGCATATGCTTACAACACAAGGCTTAAAGATTCCTCATATGCTTACAACACAAGGCTTAAAGATTCCTCATATGCTTACAACACAAGGCTTAGATTCCTCATATGCTTACAACACAAGGCTTAAAGATTCCGCATATGCTTACAACACAAGGCTTAAAGATTCCTCATATGCTTACAACACAAGGCTTAGATTCCTCATATGCTTACAACACAAGGCTTAGATTCCTCATATGCTTACAACACAAGGCTTAAAGCTCCATCATAAGCTTACAACACAAGGCTTAAAGCTTCATCATATGCTTCCAAAACAAGGCTTAAAGCTTCATCATATGCTTACAAAACAAGGTTTAAAGCTCCATCATATGCTTACAACACAAGGCTTAAAGATTCCGCATATGCTTACAACACAAGGCTTAAAGATTCCTCATATGCTTACAACACAAGGCTTAAAGCTCCATCAGATGCTTACAACTCAAGGCTTAAAGTTTCCTCATATGCTTACAACACAAGGCTTAAAGATTCCTCATATGCTTACAACACAAGGCTTAGATTCCTCATATGCTTACAACACAAGGCTTAAAGATTCCTCATATGCTTACAACACAAGGCTTAAAGCTTTCTCATATGCTTACAACACAAGGCTTAAAGATTCCTCATATGCTTACAACACAAGGCTTAAAGCTTCCTCATATGCTTACAACACAAGGCTTAAACACATTTTCACAAGCAAGGCTTCAGGACATGTTTACACTCAAAGCTCATCAGATGGATTCTCATTAATCACACTTCTTTTGTCAAGTGAACCTGTGTAATCTGAACACCTGTACATTGCATAACTGTGATAGGTAACAAACAACATGGTCTCTATGGTGTTTACATAGATTTCACAACAGGTCTCACCAAATGTAGTTATGACAGATATTTCTGTATGTACCATATCTAATCTAATAAATGCAGTGGGCGCTGAGCTATTTGGAATAGTTATAATTAAATTCAGAACATCCCAATCTTTTCACCATAACATAACCATATCTTACTGATTTGTAATAAATTAAATTGATAAGACTTAAGTTGTCAATGACTGGAAAACATGATATAGACCTGTGTCCACATACCAGATACAGCATTATCTCAGTTGGTCCAAGACCCAAGATACAGTGTAGAACGAGGTTTAAAATCTGAGACAGATAAGGAAGGGCACTGTCATGTGCCTGACATCCCTCCCCTTCACTCCCTTGTTATTTAGTTTTGGTAACAGTGACTTTGACCATGACCTTAGAAACATTTAAATCGTTTTTGCACATCTATTTACATGTAACAGACTATCACATTGTATCAAACTGTCAAATTTCCAAAAAAATAAAAATAGTCTTTTGGATTTTAAGATAAGAACTGTATTACCCCATGGTCTATTTTAAGTAACAGTGATTTTGACCTTGAAAACTTTTTAAAAGCCTTTTGCACATCTACATATCAGTGTATCACCATGTCAAATTTCCATAAGATTAGCCTTTTGGATTCCATGACAAGAACCATATCCTCTCCTTGTCTATATTTAGTAATATTGACCTTGACTCTGACCTTAATGGGTTTTTTAAACCCTACTGCACATTAACATATCACATTGTATCATCATGTCAAATTTTGAAATTATCATTCCTTTGGATTGCAAGATATTCTCCCAAAACAAAGTGCTGATGGCTGGACAGACAGACACCATGATTACCAAATACGGATGGAGATCTAAGTTACAGTAAAAATACATGGTCGTAAACCTAAGAGATACCGATATATTGTAGTAAAAGACTTACTGGGGCTCCAGGTCGTCCATCTCTGCCCTGAAAGTATAAATACAACATCATTTATTATACACTCAACACATGAGCATCTAAAATATACATTGTAGGTCTGGCACTGGGATTTTACAGTATTGCAGTCATTATCAAAACTATAATATTGTTCCTGATCTAGTTAACAGATGAGTATATGTACTGATGATCCACACATCACTAGATACACAGTATGGACCAGAGACACAGTATGAACTAGAGACAGTATGAACTAGAGACACAGTATGAACTAGAGACAGTATGAACTAGACATACAGTATGAACAAGAGACACAGTATGAACTAGAGACAGTATGAACTAGAGACACAGTATGAACTAGAGACACAGTATGAACTAGAGATACAGTAAGAACTAGAGACAGTATGAACAAGAGACACAGTATGAACTAGAGACAGCATGAACAAGAGACACAATATGAACTAGAGACAGCATGAACTAGAGACAGTATGAACTAGAGACACAGTATGAACTATAGACAGTATGAACTAGAGACAGTATGAACTAGAGACAGTGTGAACTAGAGACACAGTATGAACTAGAGACACAGTATGAACTATAGACAGTATGAACTAGAGACAGTATGAACAAGAGACACAATATGAACTAGAGACAGTATGAACTAGAGACAGTATGAACTAGAGACACAGTATGAACTAGAGACACAGTATGAACTAGAGACACAGCATGAACTAGACATACAGTATGAACTACAGACACAGTATGAACTGGATACACAGTATGAACTAGAGACACAGTATGAACTAGAGACAGTATGAACTAGTGACACAGCATGAACTAGACATACAGTATGAACTAGAGACACAGTATGAACTAGACATACAGTATGAACTAGAGACACAGTATGAACTGGATACACAGTATGAACTAGAGACAGTATGAACTAGAGACACAGTATGAACTAGAGACACAGTATGAACAAGAGACACAATATGAACTAGAGACAGTATGAACTAGAGACAGTATGAACTAGAGACACAGTATGAACTGGATACACAGTATGAACTAGAGACACAGTATGAACTAGAGACAGTATGAACTAGAGACAGTATGAACTAGACATACAGTATGAACTAGAGACACAGTATGAACTGGAGACAGTATGAACTAGAGACACAGTATGAACTAGGGACAGTATGAACTAGGGACACAATATGAACTAGAGACACAGTATGAACTAGGGACAGTATGAACAAGAGAAACAATATGAACTAGAGACAGTATGAACTAGAGACACAGTATGAACTAGACACACAGTATGAACTAGGGACAGTATAAACTAGGGACAGTATGAACTAGAGACACAGTATGAACTAGACACACAGTATGAACTAGGGACAGTATAAACTAGGGACAGTATGAACTAGAGACACAGTATGAACTGGATACACAGTATGAACTAGAGACACAGTATGAACTAGAGACACAGTATAAACTAGAGACAGTATGAACTAGAGACACAGTATGAACTAGAGACACAGTATAAACTAGGGACAGTATGAACTAGAGACACAGTATTAACTAGAGACAGTATGAACTAGAGACACAGTATGAACTAGAGACAGTAGGAACAAGACATACAGTATGAACTCGAGACACAGTATGAACTAGACACACAGTATGAACTAGGGACAGTATGAACTAGAGACACAGTATGAACTAGAGACAGTATGAACTAGAGACACAGCATGAACTAGACACACAGTATGAACTAGGGACAGTATGAACAAGAGACACAATATGAACTAGAGACAGTATGAACAAGACATACAGTATGAACTCGAGACACAGTATGAACTAGACACAGTCCTTCTTTTGTTGAGTATGTCATAATATGTGCTACACACAAGTAAAGTTAACAGTAGAGATGATTTTTGAATGTAGAATTGTTATTGAAGTATTTTAACTCACTGAAGGTCCTCTTGGTCCTGGTGGTCCCTGAAATACAATGAAATAATATTTGCAGATGTAGTACAAGATCAATTTGGGTAACAAATTACTGCCTATAGTAAAGGATAAGAAAATTGCTGTAAGTTAGATTAAGATATATGTACTCCTTTTCCTCTTATTATCATTCAAGTAATAGTAATAGTAATAAAAGGATTCTGCAAAAACTATCAAACACTTGTATGTTGTGTTGCATTAATTAAACATGTCTCTGAAAACTATATTTTTACTTTTATTGTAACATTTCAAATACTTCTCATTATTTTATTATGGAAAATGAATTTACAATGCACACAACCTGTTAATATCTCAGCTATGTGATAAAAGGAAAAGAAAGTTAGAATTATCCCCCTTTAACTGATTCTATTCAGTGTACCTACCGGGGCTCCCGACTCTCCCTGGTCTCCTTTCATACCATCAAACCCTGGCAGCCCCTGACTTCCTTTTGGTCCCGCAGGTCCCTCTGGCCCTGGACCTCCAGGCTGGCCTGCACCACCAGGTTCCCCTGGCTCACCCTACAACAGGTTATAGTCCAGAGTCTGAGACAGAGAAGTATGTGGTTTGATACCCTGATGTAAGACATGATATGAGACCTTTGTACAATGTAGTACATGGTTCAAGACCTGAGTACATTGCAGTACAGGATCCGAGACCTGAGTACAATGTAGTACAGGATCCGAGACCTGAGTACATTGTAGTACAGGATCCGAGACTTGATATACAGTGTAGTACAGGTTCCGAGACCTGATATACAGTGTAGTACATAGTCCGTGACCTGATATACAGTGTAGTAAAGGGTTCGAGACCTGATATACAGTGTAGTACATGGTCAGAGACCTGATATACAGTGTAGCACATAGTCAGAGACCTGATATACAGTGTAGTACATAGTCTGAGACCTGAGATACAGTGTTATACATGGTGTGAGACTTGATATACAATGTAATACATGGTCCGAGACCTTGAGTACAATGTAATACATGGTCTGAGACCTCAATAACAGTGTAATATATGGTCCAAGACCTAAAATACTATGCAATACATGGTCAGAGACCTGGGATACAGTGTACTACATGGTCAGAGACCTGCAATACAGTGTAATATATGATCTGAGACCTGAAATACAGTGTAATACATGGTCAGAGACCTCAGTTACAGTGTAATATATGATCTGAGACCTGAAATACAGTGTAATACATGGTCAGAGACCTCAGTTACAGTGTAATATATGGTCTGAGACTTGAGATACAGTGTAATACAAGGTCAGGGACCTGAAATACAGCGTAGTACATGATTTGTGACCTGGTATATAGTATGATACATGGTTGGAGACCTGAGATATAGTGCTGTCACACTTGATCACAACAAAGACAGTGTAGACATGAATGTTTAATCATTAATCTAACAAGAGATTTTTTATAAACTTCATGTTGGATCACATCATGTTTCTATTTACGTCTTTTTATCTATAACGGTAAGTCACACAAGTTTTTCTTACATAATTTCTTCCTTAATTGTCGAAAGATGTTTCTGTATATTTTTTCACATGTATTTCTTCATTGACAGAAGAAAACAACATGTTTACCATCTCGAAAAAAAAGAGTCTTCAGAGGCAATTTCAATTCAGTTTCTTTATATAATACTTACATAACGATTGCATCCAAATGGAGTATCTCCAATCAATGTGCATACATGATGTTATTAATTTTGTAAATTTTGTGTCAATCCATCCACACCTCCCCACCTCCTCAAGGTCTGAGGTCTTACTTACATGCTTCAGAGACAACATCACATGCAGGAGAGGAAGTCATTGCAGTAGGAACATATCACTAAATATTTGGTTGTGAACAAATTACATGCAAGGATGAAACTGTCCCGATGTTTGGCTATCTGTAGAAACTGTCCAAGTGTTTGGCTATCGGTAGACACTGACCCAGTGTTTGGCTATCTGTAGACACTGTCCCAGTGTTTGGCTATCTGTAGAAACTGTCGCAGTGTTAGGCTATCTGTAGAAACTGTCCCAGTGTTTGGCTATGTGTAGAAACTGCCCCAGTGTTTGGCTATCTGTAGAAACTGTTGCAGTGTTAGGCTATCTGTAGAAACTCTCCCAATGTTTGGCTATATGTAGAAACTGCCCCAATGTTTGGCTATATGTAGAAACTGTCCAAGTGTTTGGCTATCTGTAGAAACTGTCCCAGTGTTAGGCTATATGTAGAAACTGTCCCAATGTTTGGCTATCTGTAGAAACTCTCCCAATGTTTGGCTATATGTAGAAACTGCCCCAATGTTTGGCTATCTGTAGAAACTGTCGCAGTGTTAGGCCATCTGTAGAAACTGTCGCAGTGTTAGGCTATCTGTAGAAACTGCCCCAATGTTTGACTATCTGTAGAAACTGCCCCAGTGTTTAGCTATATGTAGAAACTGTCGCAGTGTTAGGCTATCTGTAGAAACTGTCGCAGTGTTAGGCTATCTGTAGAAACTGTCCTAGTGTTTGGCTATATGTAGAAACTGCCCCAATGTTTGACTATCTGTAGAAACTGTCGCAGTGTTAGGCTATCTGTAGAAACTGTCCTAATGTTTGGCTATATGTAGAAACTGCCCCAATGTTTGGCTATATGTAGAAACAGCCCCAATGTTTGGCTATCTGTAGAAACTGCACCATTGTTTGACTATCTGTAGAAACTGCCCCAGTGTTTAGCTATCTGTAGAAACTGCCCCAGTGTTTAGCTAAACGTAGAAACTGTCGCAGTGTTAGGCTATCTGTAGAAACTGCCCCAATATTTGGCTATCTGTAGGAACTGCCCCAATGTTTGGCTATCTGTAGGAACTGCCCCAATGTTTGGCTATCTGTAGAAACTGTTGCAGTGTTAGGCTATCTGTAGAAACTGCCCCAGTGTTTAGCTATATGTAGAAACTGTCCCAGTGTTTAGCTATATGTAGAAACTGTCGCAGTGGTAGGCTATCTGTAGAAACTGTGTCAGTGTTAGGCTATCTGTAGAAACTGCCCCAATGTTTGGCTATCTGTAGAAACTGCCCCAGTGTTTAGCTATATGTAGAAACTGCCCCAGTGTTTAGCTATATGTAGAAACTGTCGCAGTGGTAGGCTATCTGTAGAAACTGTGTCAGTGTTAGGCTATATGTAGAAACTGCACCAATGTTTGGCTTTCTGTAGAACTGTTGCACTAAGGCCACAAGATATATGTATAAGTGCTAAGAATACACCTGCAACAGTGAGTGTATCAGCACATCCCTATAGCAGCTTGACCCGGTGTGGACAACATCAAATGTTGTAACTCCCCTCCTAACATCTTGAGGCAAATTGACGCATGTGAATTGCTGAGGATATCAAGTAAGCTTGGTCACTACTTATACATGAACAACACTACTACATGTATCAGTAATATACTGGTGTTAACTATTGACTGTCAGTTTCAGACACTGTCAGTAATGTATAGGTCCATCTTCCATAGTCCTAGTGATGTATACAGTGTTAAACATTAGGTACCTTGAGGATGGTAAGTTGAGCTTCAGCATCTTCCCCAACGCCCCCGGGGAGTCCCTTGGGGCCACGCGGTCCCTACAAACCACAACGGCCATGCTACAGACATTCACCAGGTCACATGCAACATTCCATACAGATGTAAACATGACATTGGTAGAACGATGGTCTGCACAATATTCTCTAACTATTAGATTATGTTCCTGTTGGAAATATTTACAGTTCAAGTAATGTCATACCAACATTAACAAATTACGAAACTATTTACAACAGAAGACTGTATAAAAGCAGCATGCTGTGGTTGTCGCTAGTCAACACAACCACCTAAGCTTTAATACTAGAAAAAAATCAGAAATTTTCATGAGAAAAAAACCCAATAATATTTAAGGCTTAACTTGAATATATTTTTGATGTTATGGAGATATAACACAAAAAAACGGAGTGTACTCTAAATAAACCGTGAATAAAAATAAAAAATAAAATATTCAAGTCAATCCTTATAATTTAATCTACTATACACAATCCCTGTGGAAATTCACTTTTAATGATTGACTCTTTTCTCTTAGAAATTATTGCGCTGCTGTATCATCCAATCAAAAGCGATGTTACAAACGGCGACGCCATTTTTTTTACACGTTATCGGCTGATAACATTTTTTTTTGAAGCCAATGAAATATTTGTTACAAGCAAGATTAAATCATTAGTAGTTGTAAATGAACATATATTACACTCGTTGGTTATTTAGATAAAGAGTGAAAGAGAAGTTTGAGCACGGATACTAGTGTAATATATCGTAGAATTAGAAAAGAGTAATGCATCGAGTCATAGTACATGTACTAATAGTAGACAAAGACATGCATGTTAATTATAATACTCACCTTGGATAAAGGTACGCAATCATAGCAATATACTCAGAGACAATGGTACATGTATGTAAGTCAATAGCAACAATAACTACCTGTTAATCACAATACTCACCTTGGATAAAGGTATGCAAGTTAATACTCACCATTGTGACAAACGTATGTATAATGTAAAAATATCTATTATCGACAATGATATGTAACTCCTAGCAACACTAACTGCTGACAAAGACATGCAGGTTATAGCAGAACTAAATGTTGATGTTGATTGGTATTACCCACCATTGGTCAGGGAACTGTCGTCCAGTCAAACTTTCGCCCTAATCTGTATCTGCCCTGTGTTAATTTCACATTTGATTGCCGTGTTCGTTATGCTATTTACCTATGTTCGTTCTCATGATAAATTCACACTGATTAGGAAGGGTGGAAATGCTTGTGAAATTTAAACAGCAGCATCAACAAAAGTGTGTAACTCATAGCAAAACTTTCACCAAAGACAAAGACATGCAAGGTGATAGCAATACTCACCATGGACAAAACAGATACCTTTATTGTGTATTGCTTTAAGTCTAACTTCTATATTGTCCAGACATGGTAATCACTCACATCTCCTGCTTCCATGGAAACCACCAGTATTGACTGATCATGCTCAAACTTGTCACAATGTCAAAAAAAATTGCACAAGCTCAGACGAGGAGAAGTCGTCACCATGCCAACCGATACAATCGCACACCATGTTCAGACTAGCATGCCTGACTTAAGGGCCATGTTCAGACTAACATGCCTGACTTAAGGGCCATTTGAGCATGCCTGACTTAACAATGAGGGGCCATGTTCAGACAAGCATGCCTGACTTAACAATGACAGGCCATGTTCAGACCAGCATGCCTGACTTAACAATGACAGGCCATGTTCAGACCAGCATGCCTAACTTAACAATGTGGGGCCATGTTCAGACCAGCATGCCTGACTTAAAAATGACGGGCCATGTTCAGACCAGCATGCCTGACTTAACAATGACAGGCCATGTTCAGACCAGCATGCCTGACTTAACAATGACGGGCCATGTTCAGACCAGCATGCCTGACTTAACAATGACAGGCCATGTTCAGACCAGCATGCCTGAAATACCAACCTTGATAGTGATCACTTCATACTCTCCTCCCTATCAATGTAAATTTTATTATTTAATCAATTAAAAACCTCAGATGATATTTATTAGCATGATCACAACAAAAACTCAACAAAAAGTGATTGAATTTTGATGACCAGGAATTAAAGAAGGGATAGGTAAAGTAAAATTTTTACTCTGTGCCAAATGAGGGCTGTCTTAGTGATGTTTGTCAAACTCAAACACCCAAAACATTTTTACCAAGAGCCTTTCCTGTGCTTTTGGTCAAAACAAAGTGAAGCATTTTGACAGTGGTAAACGCTACCAAGTTCCACCCCAATCAAATGGAAACCAAGAGATCCTAGCTGTCCAAGAAAGTATGTGTGAAGTCTACAAAGCAGGGGGTTACTCAGTTAATAATTATTGCATGAGTTGTGTACACCAGAATTCTATAAAATTTCAATAAAAAAAATATGCAAACAAGACGTGAAAAGATGGACAAATGAATGGACAGACAGATGGATTGACAATGCGATACTGTCATCTCAACAGGTAAATAAAAGGGCATGGTTTTACATGACTTATCAGACACAATATTTGTTATATAAAAACGGACCATCAGATGTGTGTGGGTGTGAGTCAATCTGATGTAGTGATTTAAAGTTCAAACAAACATAAAATAATTGATCAAATACAAATCAGTACTTCGTGATGGGAATATAACTGACTGCGGCTCCCACAGGCCTTACCTTGAGTGGTATGATATCTTCATATCCTGTATTTAGGCCCTCATGGAATCGCACAGATCGCTTGATTCCCTGGACAAGCACATGCATCACAGGAGAGAGAGAGTCAGTGATATTAAACATAGCTAACATATCTAATAGTTAGTCAGCGAGAGAAGGTTTCCCAACCACCAATATATTCTGGTTATTAAAGCCCCTTCTACCTTTATTAATAGCAGATACATAACAGTACTAGAACATGATTAGCCAAGTCAAGTGATATACATTATACAAAGTAGAACAGAAAAAATCAAATTAACATAGGATGTTAGGCTCAGTTTACAATCACTACTTTAATTCTTCTTTGAATATCTGAGAATGTGTCCTTGATAAAGCCAATGGCATGACCTTGAAACAACAGGTAAGGTTTTGACTTTGAAACACAACCTGTGGTCCATCAAATCCTGGTAATCCTTCGCCTCCCTTGTCTCCCTTGGGGCCTGGTCCTCCCTAAGGAAACCCCAAAAAAATGTAGTGAAAAAACAGTCCATTGTCTCCACCAGTGGTCAAAACGAGAGTAAGCCAAGAGGTAGATCACTTATACTTTCATTCACAGTATACATGTAAAAATGCCCTCAAAAAGTACCTGCGGATCACATTTGTTCCACTTGTAGACTTATTTATACACATCAAAACTCCCCAACCTTTGACCCAAAAATTAATGTAGTTCCTACTCTGTACAATAACTATTTTATCTTGTGAATTGTGGAGGTCCTTAGTTGAGAGAAGTCCAGAGAAACTTTATGTACAAAAGGACAAAATCAACTAGAACACTGACAGGTCAGTAAGGGCCCCGTCTTGTGGCAATATATCCCCCATAATCATCAAGAAGCAATCTGCCGATATAGCTGAGCTTGGCGTTTGACATTTGGACTTCAAAAAGAATTGCAAGGAAGCAAAATATACATTTTACATGTACTATGATGCGAGTCTTGTTTCCTTCCACTTCCATATTTGCTGGGCTAACAGATATGTAAATACTTGTGCAATACTCATTTGTTAGCTTTGATTTGTTTTATTTCACCTTATATACCTCCTCCATCAAGAGCCAGGGTCAAAGTCAGAGATCCACTTTATCTTTGACCTTTTGACACAAATAACCTGACCATTAACCCAGTGACCCTGATCTTTGGTCAGTTGACATATTCTTTAATTCCAACCAACTTTGCTTCTTAATATCATAACAAAATGTTAATCAGTGAAAAATACAAAACTTGGCCTTGACCCTTTGGACCCTGTAACCTGGACCTAAGGTCAGTTGACTCTGTGTTAAGTTCTGAACAACATTGCTTCATAATGTCATAACAAAATGTTCATCAGGGAAAAGGTACAAAAATTAACCTTCACCTTTGACCCAGTGACCTTGACCTTTGGTTATTTGACTCCTTGTTTAATTCTGAGCAACATTGATTCATAATGTCATAGAGAAATGTTCACCAGTAAAAAGCTACAAAATGTGACCTCGACTCCTGACCCGATGACCTTGACTTTTGGTCAGTTGACTCCTTGTTTAATTCTGATCAACTTTGCTTCATCATGTCATAACAAAATGTTCATCAGTGAAAATATGTAAAATTTGACCTTGACCTTTGAACCTAATGACCTTGACCTATGACCTTGACTTTTTACCTCAATGTGTATTTTTGTGAACTGAACATCTTGACCAAGTTTCATGTACATCGGTCAATAAATATCAAAGTTATCAGCCAGGAACAAAATTTGTGGACGGCCAGACAGACAGACAGACAGACAGACAGGCAGACAGAGTGATTACTATAGGGCACCCGTATCTCCGATACGGGGCCCTAATAAGCTTCCTGCTCAACTCTTTCATAATTATCTTGTAATAGACAGAAATGTACTGCATTTACACTGTTAATATGACCTTGAACTTTCATTACAATATAAATAGGTTGGAAGATACTCTACCTAAAATCTATATAAAATTCCTATACAATGGTTCAACATGACCTTGAGCTCTGACATTTGACCCTAAAATGAATAGAAACTACCAAATGGGTGGTAAGTTTTAAAGTCCATGATGGAAAATATTTTACTAAAACAATCTGGAAAATGTTTTCACACTTAAGATGACATATGACTTAGACCTTTGCCATTTGCTCCCAAAATAAATACAGATCCTTTTCACACTATGTGTAATATTTTACTGTTACAATGGGTGGATAGGAGGAGCACAGTGTTACAATACCTGGTACATACCTTCTCTCCTTTCAATCCAGGTAAACCAGTAGGGCCCTTCAAAATAAAGTTTCAATGCAATCATCAAAATCTCATTATTGTAATGTGAAGTAACTATCTCATTTTTATAATTTTTTCAATCTGTTTCTCATGTTATCTACTACAACATACACAAGTATTCAAAAAAGCCAACTTACAGTGATGTGATTCAAGCTTATTCATCAGAAATGAGTATTGTCAGATACATATAATAATTCCTAAGATGTCACAATGTGATGAAGAGTAATTATCAACTGGAACAGATGTATGTAAATAAGAAGATATACCTTTAGGTAGGTACATATCAACTTACTTGAGCACCCTTGCTAATTGGTCCCTGAAATAACAACCAGAATCAATCATTAATAGGTAGAATTTTAATTAATCTACAGCTGAGAAACACCCTACACCAAATATCTCACCAATCTACACCCCCATCCGGTAAACAATTTCACATGTAGCATCAGCATCTGAACCAAAATCTTCATTACAGAATAAATCAAAGACACTCAGCTATTTCACAGTAAATCTGTTGGTATGCTGTAATGTAAGTTTGGTGCCCTATCTAATGTATTATTGATAGCACACATCCCTACCCACATCATCGCCTCAACATCTATATACCTCATACATATCTGATACAATCATCACCTGGCATACAAATAAAAAGTATTTCCCTCACATGATCAGTTGGTTATTGATAACTAAACAGTAAATATTCTTGTTTAAATTATTGCCCCCCCCCCCCNTCAGGGTAATAAATGGGAATTTTTTTCTGTCTTCTGAGTGACTTAACTCATTATATAATTTAATACACAGATTGACTGTGGAGCGATTAGGTAACTTCTACAGAAACACTTAAATTATCAGTTGTAATTTCACATGATGGCAATCAACCAAAACTGAGGAACACCGTCACAAACAGTATATTATTTTAAATCATTGTTTAAATAGTATACATTTACGCTATGTAGAAATGTCTGCTTGGACAAACATGAAATGTAATGATATTGCAGGTAATACTATTTTTCAGCTTGTTTCTATTACAATGTGAATAGCGACTAACAATCTGTGTGCCTCTATCAGTATAAGATATTAACATTCTTGGTGAGTGTACCTTATTTTCTAGTGTATAGGGGTATAAACCAGTGGGAGACACACTAGTCTTTGAAAATAGAAATGATGAGCAACAACACCTCTTTGGTGGGTCTTTGTTGGAAAACCTCACATTATGAAGCTTTGCTGGAAAAGTTTTAATTCAGTTTAATAACCGCTGGCCTTCAAAATTGATCTAGGTCATTCATTTGAATTCCACACTTCACATCTTTAGTTAAGCTACAAGCTACCACAGTAATAATCACGGACCTAAGTTTCTTGGTTACTGAAAAGAAGTTGTTCACATATTTTAAAGACATCTGACCCCTATGACCTCGAATATTTGTCAAAGTAATTCATTTTAGCAAATATCATAGCCCTTCATCCTTATTGACCAATTATCAAAATGCTAGGCCTCTTGGTTATTCAGAGATCATTTAAATGTTTCAACACATTTGACCCTTGTGACCTTGAAACAAGCCAAAATCATTTATTTGAATACAGTTGATAGCCCTTCATCATAACATGTAACTGGCCAAATTATCATCACCCTTGGCCTCTTGGTTATATAGAAGAAGTTGTTTTAAAAATGACATTGGACAGATAGACAAAGGACGCCACACCACAGCATAAGCTCACTTGGCCATTCAGGCTGACAGGTGAGCTTACAAATACTAGTTCTATCGCTATACCCCTAGAACATTGGATCATTAACACATACATCGTAACGTCAGTTTGTGATAGATATATAATATTGATGGCATACCCAGCACCAGCAAACAAGTGGTATGATGTGGATGGACACAGGAAGCGAAAAGCAAGGTTAGTAATTTTGGGATCATGCATATGGTAAATTTTGTATTATTGGTCATTAAGAACTGTTGATGTGGTTACATTAGTAGATCCTATGTTTTAAGACAAATCTCCCAGGCCTTGGCTGAAACAAGCAACAGATGTGACATTCATTATATCAGTTCCAAACCCTGAAATAATTATCTCAAATCTCCGGCAGTATGAAACAATCAATTTATCTACAGAGAGGATCAATACTGATCTACAAGGTAGTACCGGTAATGTTTCTTTAATGCTGTGCAGCATTTCAGAGGAACAAAAAAAAAAGATCTATTCTTTAATATAGACAATACCATGACATACACGTATGACTGTCACACACAATGGTAGTACGATACCAGGACATACAGGTATGACTGTCACACACAATGGTAATACAATACCATGACATACAGGTATGACTGTCACACACAATGGTAATACAATACCAGGACATACATGTATGACTGGAACACACAATGGTAATACAATACCATGACATACAGGTATGACTGTCACACACAATGGTAATACACTACCAGGACATACATGTATGACTGTAACACACAATGGTAATACAATCCCATGACATACATGTATGACTGCAACACACAATGGTAGTCCAATACCATGACATACATGTATGACTGTCACACACAATGGTAGTACAATACCATGACATACATGTATAATTGTCACACACAATGGTAGTACAATACCATTACATACATGTATAATTGTCACACACAATGGTAGTACAATACCATGACATACAGGTATGACTGTCACACACAATGGTAGTACAATACCATGACATACATGTATAACCGTCACACACAATGGTAGTACGATACCAGGACATACAGGTATGACTGTCACACACAATGGTAGTACAATACCAGGACATACATGTATGACTGTCACACACAATGGTAGTACAATACCAGGACATACAGGTATGATTGTCACACACAATGGTAGTACAATACCATGACATACATGTATGACTGTAACACACAATGGTAGTATGATACCAGGACATACATGCATGACTGTAACACACAATGGTAGTACAATACCATGACAAGGACAGACAGCAATACGAACGGCACCATGTCATGACAAGAGATATAATGGTGGCACCATTCCCCAACACAGATGGACAGACATAGCGGTGACATTATGTCACATCATAGATATAATGCGGGTTCCATGCCTTTACCAAGACCATCAGAATCCATCCTAACTTTACAGAAATTTAGATCTATGACACCATGCCTTGGCTTTGTAATTTAATACATCTCATACACCAGCCTTCATCAAGCTCATGCACAGAGTAGAAAAGTCAGTAAAGACAGGACAAAAAAATATACATCAGGATGACCATGCAATAAAGGCATCCAAAACCAAGATGAATTTAGAGGAGGCAGAGACAGGTCAACTGGACATACTGAAATAGGGAGTTTAAGGCATTCAAAAGACCAATGACAAACCGGGAATCCAGCGTAACCACGGAAACCCATAGGTCCTCTGCTGCCCTTATATCCCTGGAATGGAAAGTGCATACACTGTTATCAAGCTACATTGAGGGTGTACAAGGTCATTGTGATGACTTGTAGGTCAAACTCCAACACTAACCACCAGTATAATATTTGTATGATTATCTTTGGTCCCAGAATAATTCTAAATCACTTTGTTCTTGTATACTTTATTCAGGAAAATTTTCAAACCAATTAGAGGTCCTATGTGACTTGATTTCTGGAGAATAAGAAATTACGTTAAGTCTGAAATAAGTTGTTTATACTTTAATTCAGTATGATCATTGAATTGTTTTCTGTGAATCAATTCATGCAGGTAAGGTACTACCTTGATACCCTTGACGCCCGGATAACCCTGAAATTAACAGAGTAACATTTAATCAGCATGATACTTATATACAGGTAACAGGGATCTTCACCGATGTATGTGAGGTTTGGTATAATGATCTACACCAGCTTACACCCTATATAGAATAAGAAAACCATCAGAGGACACTAGGAATCAGCAGTATCAATACCACAAGGAAATCACCGCCACAAACTATCAAGTGGATATAACACCATCACAACATTACACCATAAAGATGTGAAGTGACACCATAAAACAACAGATTCCATAGGGACTGTGACACTCATCATTAACTCATTCCCCCCCCTGAAATTGCACGATGAACTATTCCAAACTTTGAATTGGAAAAGTTTAAATGTGTCTTCTGGGGTGAATGAGTTTTAAGGTCAAATAAATAAACAACAGAAGAAAGATCATTGGTCAATGTTATCCCAAGTTTTGTCTTTGTTTCACCAATCATTGCAATATTGCTTCAAAATGTTGTGATTAAATGTATTTCCATAAAAATAAGTTAAATTTAAGCATTTGACCTTCACCTAACAATATGGAGCAAACATCTTCAATACTGCATAGCTTCATAATATTATTAAACAATAAAAAATATAATATATAATACGATGTTAAGCTAATTTGACCTTTATTAACGTTCACCATATCCATATGACCTTGACTTTTACCTTTATGGCACTTGACATCAGTCCCAACAATATTCAACATTATGCATTGTTTACCATAAAAAGACATTAAAATTGATCTGTATGACATTGACCTTCCACTATTTGACCTTGACATAGTTACACCATGGAGTACTAGGCATTAATCCCAACAATATGGCTTCATAATCTTATTATCTATAATCACTATTAAGATCATTGGAAGTTGAGGTCTATGACACTGACCAAGCACCACAGTGATATTGCACAACTAGGACCCTACAGGAACAAACGTACAAAACTTAAGAAAGATCTATTTACTACGTTTTGAGAAATAGCCATAACAAACTTTAACCCTGGTTGCCATATTGTTCTTCACACATAAATAAAAGTTGTAACATAGCTAGCACCCAAGGGGATCCTGTTTACAACTTTTGAGAATGATCTGTCCAGCCAAAGAAATACCCACATAGTAATAACAAGAATTGTTCACCAACAAATGAACCATGAATGAAAGGCAATTTGAAAAGCCAACCATCTAATCTAACTATAACATGAACGATTAAATAAACCATGGTATGAAACCATAAAATAAACCATAAAGCACCAACAAAGTTGATTACAAATACACAGGGACGTACACAATTTGACACCATCGCCTACAACATGTGTGGGTATAAAGGAAGCAGTCGCCTGTGGCATAAACGGTTTCTAGGGAAAAGATAAAGAATTATACAGATTTGTTATTTTTCTGACACAAAACTTTAAATGTTTTCAATGAAAGGAAATACTTAACCTCTTAAGTAGTTAATTACTACTTGCCAAGATATTACACAAGATCATATGACAATACCATATTTCATAGACACAAGCAAACCTATTGAATTGCAGACTCTTAATGAAGATCCTAGCGAGCTACATTTGTATACTTCTCCCAGTAATTGAGTTTGACTGCCAAAGAAAGAAAAAAAAAACACTTACAAGTGCCTGAAGTCAGATTTAATGAACTTGTAACTTTGTAAAACATGTTCCATCATTTCTGAGATTGTTTTTTATTTTTTCAGTCTTACAGCCCTTTGTAACAAACAGAAATGTCATTTTGGTATGTAGAGAGGTGTTGGAAACAGCAGCCATACTTACATCTATACAGGCCAGACTGGCGCCCCTAAAGGCCCCTAGTTACCACAATAGAAAACACCAATTATGTCTCCCTGAAACACTGTTTCCAGGAAGCTCTTACTTCAAAGATACATTTTTCAATAAGTTGGAAAGAATGGAATATCAAGTTCTAGCCATTTTCTTACAATAACGGTCGAAACTTTCTTACGGTAACGGTCGTTAGACAAACATAAGGAAGAACAGCCCAGTTTGAAACAAACCTATCAAGTATAGACTGTTAGTCTCAGTTTCCCAAATGGAAGTCCCTTAACTTAAGGCTAGTCCAAAAGATAGCACCTTTGGACTCGAAGAACAATCTTAAGTCAAAGAAATTTTCCTTAACCTCAGTCATGCTTTCCTACTAAAACAATTAAGGAATTTTCCTTTCTGCTATCACAGGACAGTCATTTCTAAGAACAAATGGCTATACTGTTGAATATAATTTTAGAGAAAATAAAACACTTTGTGTAAAACCCATTATACTTTGATGGGTATAAGCCAGAGGTTATAATAAAAAAATAAAAAAATAAAACAACTACAGGGGTCGAACTTGGTACCTTTACATTGCAAAGCCCACGTTTCAATACAGGACTTATACAAGCACCGTATCAAAAGGAATGCCCATTATGGGCTACTAAGCATATGAAAAACTTGTCAGGGGAAGCTAATCTACACACGGAAAAAATCCTCTAAAGAAGGGGGACAACTCAAAGTCCAAAAACTCTAAATGGAACTCTTCTTTACAACTACAAATGATGCAGAGGTACCCTTTACCTTAAAGTTGTTCAGCAATGGACCACTGTTATAGACAGTAATACTGTGTTGGACAAGACATGTTACAGGATAAGTAGACTATACTGTTTCCGATACACAACATGTTAGTATGTAACGATACAATGTACTTTGTAAGTGAAGAAACATGTAATGGACCAGAAAATATGTGAATATTCTACTAATAGGCTCTGTAAAAGAAGCTTTTTTGATCAATCATTCCAAGGATTGCTTTGAAATCATGATTTAATGAGATCTTTTTAATTTTAAGAACTCTATTTTGGGTCTTGTAATTTGATACTGATGAAAGCTCCTTACAGCAGTACCTGGCTACTATAAGCTACCTACAGTGTTAACTTAAGGATCCCTGTACCACTGCCAATAACTGTAAATATGCATCGGAAAGTAATTTCTTTTGTTCAAAACTATTATTTAGATAAATAATTTCTGAAAAGAACTTGAGGGACTTTTATCTAAAGATGATGAAGTTGAAATAAAGAAAATATAATCAATAATAGTGTTCTGAGTGTAAAAATTCAGCTAATTCAGGATTTGAACCCTATACTTTAGATTGTTATACTGTTGCTCTGGTTCAATTGCTCTATATTTTAAATATCTAAAATTAAGGGGAGATGACTCTATATACTAACAATCACAATGGAACTCTCCTGTGTTTTGCCTGCAGTGGGACGGGGATCCTTTACCAGCAGTTAGTACTAAGTAGGGTATTTGAAGGATCTAGGACTTGTCATTTTGTGTCAAGAGTCAGAACAAATATACAGGTCCCTTGAGTACAAACTTATAATTAAAATGTTCTTTTTTAACCTCTTGGCTTTAGAAAATAGATCAACCAGGATGGAACATTGAACATTTTATATCAATGTATTGGAAGCCATTTGTTCTTGACTACACATGACTGTCTGATAGAGCCTTCAATACCTGCCCACACCAGAGCTAGTTACAGTAGGACGCTGTGATAACCATATACCGGTAATCCTGAGTAACCCTTCTCTCCCTGTAAAACAGCAGATACCACATTAAAACAAAATATCAATCTCATCGATAACGATGATTGGTATGTGAAATATCTACTGCATATCAAGGTGAACATAAGTCTCTACTGATTTTTGGACATATTTCTTAACAGGAAAGAGAAAAAAACTGATATGGTCACTTTTTAGCATTAAGGTAGTGAAACTTTTCCATAAATAATGACTGAAATTAAAATTAAAACATTCCTGGTGCATTCCCAATTGATATATTATGTTTTGAAAACATTTTGATCAAAAGATATCACCTGACATGCTACATTGTATTTACCCAGTTCCTTTAATTATGGTCAGTAAAAAGTAACATAAATTTATTGTATTATCATGGTAAGGGCCTATTGTCACTTATAATCCTGTATTATCATACTACTTACCCGTATTCCAGAGTCTCCCTTATCTCCCTTTGCTCCTACAACAGAGAACATACTATTAGTCTTACAGACAACATTAGATACATTGTTAGTCCTACAAATAACAGAGAATACATTTATGTCCAGCAGACAACAAATGGTACATCATCAACCTATAACAGATAATATATCATAAGTCCTACAAACAACATTAGATACATTGTTAGTCCTACAAATAACAGAGAATACATTTATGTCCAGCAGACAACAAATGGTACATCATCAACCTATAACAGAGAATATATCATAAGTCCTACAGACAACATTAGATACATTGTTAGTCCTACAAATAACAGAGAATACATTTATGTCCAGCAGACAACAAATGGTACATCATCAACCTATAACAGAGAATATATCATAAGTCCTACAGACAACATTAGATACATTGTTAGTCCTACAAATAACAGAGAATACATTTATGTCCAGCAGACAACAAATGGTACATCATCAACCTATAACAGAGAATATATCATAAGTCCTACAGACAACATTAGATACATTGTTAGTCCTACAAATAACAGAGAATACATTTATGTCCAGCAGACAACAAATGGTACATCATCAACCTATAACAGAGAATATATCATAAGTCCTACAGACAACATTAGATACATTGTTAGTCCTACAAATAACAGAGAATACATTTATGTCCAGCAGACAACAAATGGTACATCATCAACCTATAACAGAGAATATATCATAAGTCCTACAGACAACATTAGATACATTGTTAGTCCTACAAATAACAGAGAATACATTTATGTCCAGCAGACAACAAATGGTACATCATCAACCTATAACAGAGAATATATCATAAGTCCTACAGACAACATTAGATACATTGTTAGTCCTACAAATAACAGAGAATACATTTATGTCCAGCAGACAACAAATGGTACATCATCAACCTATAACAGAGAATATATCTCCTATAGACTATGATTATGTATGGTAGAGATATCCCCAGTGTATCTATGATAATGTATGGTAGAGATATCCTCAGTGTATCTATGATAATGTATGGTAGAGATATCCCCAGTGTATCTATGATAATGTATGGTAGAGATATCCTCAGTGTATCTATGATAATGTATNTCAGGTAGGGATATCCTCAGTGTATCTAGGATTATGTCAGGTAGAGATATCCTCAGTATATCTAGGATTATGTCAGGTAGGGATATCCTCAGTGTATCTAGGATTATGTCAGGTAGAGATATCCTCAGTATATCTAGGATTATGTCAGGTAGGGATATCCTCAGTGTATCTAGGATTATGTCAGGTAGAGATATCCTCAGTATCTCTAGGATTATGTCAGGTAGGGATATCCTCAGTGTACCTTTCATTATGTATGGTAAGCATATCCTCAGTGTATCTAGGATTATGTCAGGTAGAGATATCCTCAGTATCTCTAGGATTATGTCAGGTAGGGATATCCTCAGTGTATCTGGGATTATGTCAGGTAGGGATATCCTCAGTGTGCCTTTCATTATGTATGGTAAGCATATCCTCAGTGTATCTAGGATTATGTCAGGTAGGTATATCCTCAGTGTATCTATGATAATGTATGGTAGGGATATCCCCGGTATATCTATTATTATGTCAGGTAGAGATATCCTCAGTGTATCCATGATTATGTATGGTAGAGATATCCCCAGTGTATCTATGACAATGTATGGTAGAGATATCCCCGGTATATCTATTGTTATGTCAGGTAGAGATATCCTCAGTGTATCCATGATTATGTATGGTAGAGATATTCTCAGTGTATCTATGATAATGTCTGGTAGAGATATCCTCAGTGTATCTATGATAATGTATAGTAGAGATATCCTCAGTGTATCTATGATAATGTATGGTAGGGATATCCCCGGTATATCTATTATTATGTCAGGTAGAGATATCCTCAGTGTATCCATGATTATGTATGGTAGAGATATCCCCAGTGTATCTATGGTAATGTATGGTAGAGATATCCCCGGTATATCTATTATTATGTCAGGTAGAGATATCCCCAGTATATCTATTATTATGTCAGGTAGAGATATCCTCAGTGTATCCATGATTATGTATGGTAGAGATATCCCCAGTGTATCTATGATAATGTAAGGTAGAGATATCCCCGGTATATCTATTATTATGTCAGGTAGAGATATCCTCAGTGTATCCATGATTATGTATGGTAGAGATATTCTCAGTGTATCTATGATAATGTGTGGGAGAGATATCCTCAGGGTATCTATGATAATGTATGGTAGAGATATCCTCAGTGTATTTATGATAATGTATGGTAGAGATATCCTCAGTGTATCTATTATAATGTATGGTAGAGATATCCTCAGTGTATCTATGGTAATGTATGGTAGAGATATCCCCGGTATATCTATTATTATGTCAGGTAGAGATATCCCCAGTATATCTATTATTATGTCAGGTAGAGATATCCTCAGTGTATCCATGATTATGTATGGTAGAGATATTCTCAGTGTATCTATGATAATGTCTGGTAGAGATATCCTCAGTGTATCTATGATAATGTCTGGTAGAGATATCCTCAGTGTATCTATGATAATGTCTGGTAGAGATATCCTCAGTGTATCTATGATAATGTATAGTAGAGATATCCTCAGTGTATCTATGATAATGTCTGGTAGAGATATCCTCAGTGTATCTATGATAATGTCTGGTAGAGATATCCTCAGTGTATCTATGATAATGTATGGTAGCGATATCCTCAGTGTATCTATGATAATGTATGGTAGGGATATCCCCGGTATATCTATTATTATGTCAGGTAGAGATATCCCATCTATGATAATGTATGGTAGAGATATCCTCAGTGTATCTATGATAATGTATAGTAGAGATATCCAGAGTATATCTATGATTATGTATGATAGAGATATCTCCAGTATATCCAGGATTATGTATGATAGTGATATCATCAGTGTATCTATTATTATGTATGGTAGGGATATCCTCATTTTATCTAGGATAATGTATGGTAGAGATATCCCCAGTATATCCATGATAATGTATAGTAGAGATATCCTCAGTGTATCTAGGATTATGTATGGTAGAGATATCCTCAGTGTATCTATGATAATGTATGGTAGGGATATCCTCAGTGTATCTATTATTATATATGGTAGGGATATTCCCAGTATATCTATTATTATGTCAGGTAGGGATATCCCCAGTATATNATAGAGATATCCTCAGTGTTTCTAGAATTATGTATGATAGAGATATCCTCAGTGTATCTAGAATTATGTATGATAGAGATATCCTCAGTGTATCTAGGATTATGTATGATAGAGATATCCCCAGTATATCCATGATTATGTATGGTAGGGATATCCTCAGTGTATCTATTATTATGTCAGGTAGATATATCATCAGTGTATCTATTATTTTATATGGTAGGGATATTCCCGGTATATCTATTATTATGTCAGGTAGAGATATCCCCGGTATATCTATGACTTTTTAGTATAGTGCTATCCTAAGTATCTCTGTGGAATATATATGTATTAAGGATTTCCTGATAATATACTCCCACAAGTCATTTATAGTTCAGAAGTCCATCACTAAAAAAACACATGTTTGTCTATCAAGATAACTAGGTGTATGAGGGATGAGGAAGTGTACAGGGAGGCAGACACAATCACAACAATCTTTTGATACGTGTTTATTTTTCCAATAGATATCTAGCAGTTTATTTTTGTGGTGATAGCATTACCTATAATTAGATATAATAAGCTGACTTTGAGTTGCAGTGCTGTCAGGGTGTACCTTTATGCCCCTGTAAGCCCCGCCTGCACTTGATGACCCCAGTAAGCTGCAGCATCTCCATGCTTTTATGTTTTCTGAGCCAATGTGTTTAAATGAGCTTAGATGTGTACTTGGACAGGTGTTAGCTGCCATGGGGTCCTGTACTACACCGGTATGTTGATATTGATCCCAGGTCTTTATGGGACTCACATCACGTCACAGAAGGTTCTTTAATGATTGGTGATCACAACAGTACAATAGGTACCTAATAAAGACTTTAATGATCAGTGATCACAATAGTACAATAGGTACCTTATAAAGACTTTAATAATGAGTGATCACAATAGTACAATAGGTACCTTATAAAGACTTGAATGATCAGTGATCACAATAGTACAATAGGTACCTTATAAAAACTTGAATGATCAGTGATCACAATAGTACAATAGCTACCTTATAAAGACTTTAATGATCAGTGATCACAATAGTACAATAGGTACCTTACAAAGACTAATGATTAGTGATCACAATAGTACAATAGGTACCACACTTGGACTTTAATGATTGGTGATCACAATAGTACAATAGCTACCTTATTAAGACTTTAATAATGAGTGATCACAATAGTACAATAGGTACTTTACTTGGACTTTAATGATTGATGATCACAATAGTACAATAGTACAATAGGTACCTTACTTGGACTTAAATTATTGGTGATCACAACAGTACAATAGGTACCTTACTTGGACTTTAATTATCAGTGATCACAATAGTACAATAGGTACCTTACTCGGACTTAAATGATCAGTGATCACAACAGAACAATAGGTACTTTACTTGGACTTTAACTCATTCACCCCTGAAATTTCATAATGAACTATTCATACCTTTTCAAAAGTGTCTTTAGGGGTGAATGAGTTAATAATCAGTGATCACAATAGATACATGTGAGAAAGTTTAATGTTAGTTACTTTGTGGGAAAGGGGGTTACAGTAACTTGCAACAGAGTGAAGTTAAAATGATAACTATCATTATTCCCCAAAGGAACAGTTTTAAACAAAAAACTTCATAAACATTTTAATTCTTTGAAAAAAACGACATTGTGTAACTGAACTGGTGTAGAAATTATTCAGATTTTTTTTTCATTTGTGATAGAAGGGAGACAACTAGGGGTGGGGATAAAAAAAAACACATCCATTTGCAAGCAATCAGTTGTTACAAG